TGTTCCAAGCACTTTGCTTGCTACTGTAGAGTATCAGGGTACATGATATTTGGATGTAGCAATTTTTGACGCACTTTTGGAAGGTTTTTGTCATTGGGCCTGAGATTATATAATTATGATTACAGCATTCGAAAATGTGATGCTTTATGACTTTCATACAAGCGGGAAAATCAGTAACAAAACAATAGTTCTACAGAATACCGGAAAAGGTGTAAAAGATACTTTTCTTGATGAAAGTTGCTGGAACTGCTTCAATGCCACCAATAGCTGAGCTAACTCACTGACAGCTACATTTCATTCATCGGCAATATCTCTATGTGGAGGCAGCTATTTCGGCTATTTAACGCATACAACAAATGATTTGTTTATTTCATAACAGAAAGCACTTCTTTACCTGGTAATTTTGTAGTCGTTGAGCAGTTTAGTAATTTTCAAATAATTCATAGTCTAAACATCGATACAGTCTGTCAGTTCTTCAACATACGTGAAATAAGTCAAAACTAACTGCTTTTGTAACATAAGAATCTTTATTTTAACATAGGCTGTGTGTATGAAAATTAAAAGCAATTTTAATAAAACGGATTTTGCTAATAGGCTGTATCGAACTAGGATTATTTTGCTCAAAGTACACTATGGCTATCTGCCTGAAAGGAGGTCTGCCTTCGTAGAAGATTTTCTAAGTGAAACTGGCTGGTATTTATGTTAATAGTGGATAAATTACTCACTACTTACGTTACACATAAAGAAAACTACCCATGCACCAAGATTTTAATTTGGATAGAACTACCAATATCTAGCGGTTTTAGCCACTTGGTCGATCGCTTGTAGGCCTACTAATAGGACTGGATTCGATTACGATAAATTACACAACAGCCATCTGCATAAGAGAAGGGATGCGTTCGTGAAGTAAGCAAACCTAGCTCGTAGTCTCGTCACTCATATTTTACTAATATAGAACTTGCATTTAATTAAGAACATAAAAGGTTGTAATTTTCGATTTGGCATCATGATTTCAAGACAGATCCCGTTTTATTATAATATATCAGTATTAAAGTAAAAGTGGAAGGAACCAAACAGCGGACAAAACGGATAAGACGGCTGAATACTGTCAGTTCGATATGAGTTCAAGTTCCGATGATATTTCGATATTGTTTGTTTCAGTTTCGGTTGCAAGTTATCTATGTAACCAGCGTCATGGAAAGGGAAAATAACTAAATAAAATTGAAGAATTAAGGGACTGTTTCAAGCTCAAGTCAGAATTTTCTTTACATATTTTAACATATATATCGATTGTACATATATGTTGTCAAAAATTAGCGACGTAGAAGTAAATACGTATCTTTTTCTTTCCCCCCGCCCGCAATATTTTGCTTGGCGAATTTTCCTTTTCGCTCTGTTTCACGCGCGAAGTTTTTGTTCGCCTTATTTTCACATACAGTTAGTCAATAAAGTCTGCGTACATCAAGAAAAGTAATATCAAATCCAAATTTTAAGGTGCGAAAAGGGTAGTTTCTTAAAGTTTTATTTTATAAATATTTAGTTTCAATAAGGGACTTTGAAATTATTTAACTGTAATATTTTTATATCTAATAATTTATGCACACTAATTTTTAAAAGATAAGTGGCCAGAAATCAAAGCCAATAAAGTTTGCGTACAACGCGAAGGAGGCAGGGGATTTCTTATCTAACTTTTAAACTTCAAACTTGAGAATGCAAAGAAGGTTACACTTTCAAGGTCATTGACTTCCGAAGCAAATTTCACGTTGGTTGGAAATTGCTATTCTATTTTCTTTGACGAAAATGACAACCAATAAAGAAATTCCTTTAGTTACGAGACAACTAATTATCAAATTGAGAGATGAAGGTAAAACTCTTAGTTATATTGATAAAAACCATTGAAAAACCATTTTCTAGTGTGCAAAGAGTTATTCAAAACTATCTTGACACTGGTAGTCTTGCTGTAAAACCAAGATGTGGGAGACCGAAGAAGCTAACGCAGAGAGAAGAAAGAAAAATTCTTTTACGAATTAAACAAAATCCTAAACTTTCTGCTGCAAGCATTGCAAAAGACATTTTTTTAACTAGCAACAAGGAAATTTCTCCTGAAACTGTACGAAATGTGCTGCGAAAGTCCGATTATCATGGACGCTAAGGTCTAAGCCATACATTTCCGAGACAAATAGAAAGAAAAGAATTGCTTTTGCCAAAACATATTTAAACTCTTCGCAGGACTTCTGGAACAATGTAATTTGGTCAGATGAAAGTAAATTTACAATATTTAAAGTTAATGGCGACCCTATTGTATGGAGAAAACCAGGAAACCAGGAACTGAATCTGAGAAATTTAAATCCAACTGCCAAACATGGAGTTGGCGGTGTGATGGTATGGGGGTGTATGTCGTCGAAAGGAGTTGGAAATTTTCACATTATTGATAAAGTCAGGGATAAGTATGTTTACCTGGATATCCTGAAGAAATATCTACGAGACAGTGCCCGAAATTTAAAACTTTCTAATACCTTTACTTTCCAGCAAGACAACGACCCGAAACATACAGCTAAAACTGTGAAGGAATATCTCCTCTATCACACTCCAAGACAGTTGCGTACTCCTCCACAGTTACCAGACCTCAATCCAATCGAACATTTGTGGGCAAAATTGGAGAAACGAATTCGAAAACACAATATTACGTCGCGAAATAAGCTAATTAGTAAATTGCAGGAATAATGGGCGAAATTTACGTCGGATGACACTGAAAAACTAGTTCAGTCAATGCCCAGACGACTGCAAGCTGTTTTGAAGAATAAAGGATATCCTACAAAGTATTGAAGTAATGTAAAAAACTTATGTTTTGCTTTTTTTTAAAGTGTACGCAGACTTATTGGAGGGAATTTCTGAGTTTTTTTTAACAAAATATATTTTTGAAAAAATGTAAAAAGTATTACACTGATATTATTTACTTTTTATTTAAGCTTACAATTTTAGCTAATAGAAGAATAAAAATGCAATGATTAAAATACATTTTTCTATGCTTTAAGTGTTTTTTTAATTTAAAATTTAGTCTGTGCGCAGACTTTTGTGACTAACTGTATACCCAAAACCACAGGGACTATTTGCCCAGGTGGCTAAAGCACTCTCCGGAAATCATCAACTCCTGTGTTCTACCTTAATCATGTGGGAGTCTTAATAATCTGTCTCCTCAACAGTTCTTTGCAAAGACATATCATGTAGTTTGCTTCTCCAAAAGCATTGAGCTTTTTATAGGTAATACCTTTTCGAAGTTACTTAAAATTAATGCTAAATAAGAACTGAATTTTGCCATTTATTAAGCAAGTCTAGTCTTCAACCTCCCCTTAAACTGATGTAATTATAAAAGCACTTTCTTACCTGAAAGTATAATAGTTTCTTCAATATGAACACAAAGATTAGCATGTAAATGTCACATCTCATGGCCGTGTCCCCTTTTGCTATACATCGCTGCTTGTGTGTGTGGGGGGGGGGGAATTTAATTACATCCTCCTTAATAATTCGATAATAAGCAGCAACCGTTAATTACACTAATAGTATATTATCTTTTTGATTAACCGGTAACAAAACACGTCTGGTCAATATTGACGTATAGATAGATACTAAATTAAATCACTTCCGTGGAAGTTTCCGTATACTCCACAGCTGTTTGTTTTTAATTTCGTTTTCCCCCACTATCTTCGGGTGAATCCTATTTGTTTTAGAAGGCATAAAATTCCGGAGAAATATTCTGGGCATTGTGTAATAGGTTTAACCTCCTTTCTGGGGATACTTTAATATCTTAACCATTTGAACAAACTGATATATTCTTTTGTTTAGAGGAAAAGCTAGCGTTGGTAATGCAAAGATAACATGCTGCAGAATTAAATGAATCGGTAACTGAAGTTTTATGGCAAACAGAAATGACATGTTTCGGCTTTGTTTTGCTTCCCTTTGAGTAAGTTAGAGGTAATTTATTGGCTTTTCTCTGAAAGTTGAAGATCTAAAATAAGCATTTCGAACAGAAAGGCTGTGATGTTTATAATAATTCTTCAAACTGCATTGTAAATTTGAGCATATTGTTGACACTACTGCAAAATAATGAATCTGGAAAAGCGCGTTTTGGACAATCGTTAAAATTTGTACGTGCTTAGCTTTGTGAAAACTCCAGTTGCGATTTCTACGATGTGTTTATGAATCTCTGCGGAATTTGGAATTTAACAAAAAAGAATGCATATTTAAATGGCGGCGTTGGTTGAGTGCAGGATTCTTGTGAGCATGGTTGCCAAAGTATCGCATATTCTGAAAATTTGGCGACTTATACTAAGGTGGTTGCTTTAATACGTAAATACTTTCAGTTGTTTATCTGCTTCTTTTTAAAAAAATTATTTCAAACATTAAAACTTGATTCTGTTACACAGCAACAACAGTTAAACTTTTTACTAAGAAAAGAAATATTTTTATGATTTCATATTGTTTTTAATTTTGGAACGTTCAAAAAATCTACTATTTATATTTATTAAAATATTATATATACTCGAAAATACTCAGTAACATGGCAGTTACTGAGTAATTCTGTGCATGTGTAAATGTAGTTATTTCTGATTATAAAAATTACGAGTTCGAATTTTTTAACGTGTTTTCACGACTCAGTTTTCAAATAGCAAATTACCAAACGTAGTATGCATCCAGACATTAAATTATAATGAGAAGCAAACAGATGCCTTTTTTTTATATCAGGTTTTAAACTCATACTCGACAATTACGTTATTCTTGAAAATTTGGAAGACCCAGGTTCTAGACGACGTACTGATTGAAAATATTCCTATTAAAATAAAATAATAAAAATATTGTACTAATTCACATTAAACTCAATTTAAATGTTCTATCTTCCTGAATCAAGTTTAGATTTCCAGTCGATGCATACCAAAATATACATTTTGTGTCTATACATTTCAATAATATTCCAGTATAAAAATAAATAAGATATAAATAACCTTTTGGAAAACTCCAAAACTTATTGTGTTTTTCCCACTCTTATTTAATTCTCTGATTTATCATTAAATGGATAATAAATTTTTAACTGAATTATAACTGAGACTCAATCAATAGATGAACATCAAAAGTTTTGGATCTTGTTAAAGCATGCTAGTTGTGCGAAGCATTCGATTTTTTGTTGAGGATAATAAGCAAATCACAGGTCACATCAAAACGTCCGTCATGTAAGATTCGGCGAAACATCCAAGGTATTTCTGTCTTATGCTTTTGTGGTGTAATGATCAGCATATCAGTTCAGTAATTCAAAAGATTCCAACTCCAGTAAATGATTCCGGTTCCCAGCAAATGCACATTTTGAATTTTTCTACAAAGCTTCGCTCCAATCGCTCTTCTCATCACATTACTAAAGAAGACTGTTGACTTTTCTCGTCTTGAAATTAAAATCTGAAAAGAAACATAACATTATTTGTGAATAATCAGTTTTGAAATCCCCATCTCAAACAAAATTGCCCAAAAACATACGACTGTGCGCTTTGTTATAAAGTTTTAGATAATAAAAAATGCAGCATTGTTCAAAAGACAACATTGTTGAAATGGCGAAATTGTTGAAGCAACATTGTTGAAAAGGCAACATTAGCGAACAACATTGTTGAAAACTAGAGGATCTTATCGAATTTTTGTTTCATAAACTGACACTTTTATTTTAAATAATGTTAGTCTGAATGTAATAGCAAATCACCTCTTCTTTCCAAATCAAGTATTCATGTAATTGCGAAAATACTTTTCAATGAAACAGAAATGTTATCTTAAAGGGGGGCATATAAATGCATGCAAAGATGTAGAAGTGTGTGATTATAATCCAGTATTTGGTTTCTTGATGTTTAAATAGGACAAAAAATTGTTATTAAAGGTTAATAGGATAAGAATTGTGTTTTTAGCTTCTTTTATAGTCTATTGCTTCGTAAATCATATCTAATGTTACCATTCTTATAGTTTTAATTTAGATAATGTAAATAAATATTTCTTTCTAAATATCTATTCAAATATTAAAATATTGTAAGTAAATAACTAAAAAGTATGCATTCACTAGTTTACATTATGACAAGGAAACATTTCTGCGGGATACATTGAAAAACACATTTAAATACAAGTAATTAGCAATGTTCTAAACATAGCATTATAATGGTTAAATAAAGCTAATTAAATTTGTTCCTAAACATAACATAGCGATTGCGAAAATGCATGAAGTTGTCACTGTAATAACCTAAATGTTATTTTGTAAAAACAGCATAATTTTTCCCCCATTTTAAATAGGAGAAACTGTTTTCTGAATTGTGTTGCACATATCAAAAAGTTTTGAGACGTTCTATTAGAACTTCATAATGTTTTGTTGTAATTACCAATCTTTAATATCTTCTTATAAATATAGGCAAATCGTTCATTGTTAGTAAAATGGAAAATAAATTATCCTTTGTTGGAAAATTCGTCAATTATGCTATTGTTGGCCAAGATTATGAGCTGTCTTTATATGCTATTCATCGTGAGATCAAAACCGTGTTTTGTATTTGTAAGCAGATTATTGTGTTTGAAGCCATAATTAAATCAATCTTCCATTATCGGAAATTTTAACAAAACATATTTCTGTCTTGGAAAATTGTATAAAATATAATAATAGACCTTAAGGTCTTTCGTAGCAAAGAATATTAGAAATAAATTTTATGAGTCGCTGATGTTTAATTTATTCTCTGACTTATTGATTTGGATAAAGGTTTTTTTTGCACGAACTCTGAAAATTAATATTAACTTTATTTTCAGTAATTTAGATGTATAACTGCCATATTTGCGAATTAAATATCTCTTAAATAAGGCATAGTTTTCAATACCTTATTCCTGTAAGTTTCAATAATATTCAGTGTCATTGTCTTATCTCTATAACTGCCGTACTAATCATTATAATGTCGCTTAAACAATGCATGTTTTGCAGTAACTTATACAGACTACAATTTCAATATCTTTAGTTTCAGTATCTCATTCTTATAACATTTTCAACATTTAGCTTCAGTATCTTATCTGTACAACTTTTAGGCAGATTTGCAGTAATCACTGTAAGTCAAGCCAAGTCCTATGCTAGTGAATTTAATGTATCTTATGTAATGTATGTTTTTCAGTAACTTACACACATTTCAATAATTTTCAATTTCAGTATTCTCGTAATTCAATTTCAATATTTAGTATTCTCGTAACAGTTTCAATAACAATCATCTTCGATATTTTTTCTCTATTGCGTAATATGAATTTATTGTCGCTTAAATAATGCATGCTTTCATATAAAAAAGAATAATTATGTGAACTTTAGTTCAATAACTTATCATTATAAAAATTTCAATAAATTTCAATTTCAGTAATTTATTCTCGTAACAGTGTCAATAACATTTAACTTCAGTATCTTTTCTCTATAACTGCCGTATTATGAATTTATTGTCTCTTAAATAAGGCATAGTTATCAAACAAGAAAGAATAATTATGTAAACTTTATTTCAATAACTTATAACAATTTCAGTAATTTAGCCTTGTAGCAATTTAAATAACATTTACTTTTTCAGCATGTTATATCTGCCATATAATTTAATATCGATTAAAGAATGCATGTTTTTCAGTAACTTATTCTTATAATAATAATTTCAGTAAATTTATGTTTAAATAACTTAACCCTATAATAATTTCAGTAAAATTCAATTATCAGAAAATTTCAGTAAAATTTCAGTAAAATTCAATTATATGATATCTTCCATACTTACGAATTTAATGTCGCTTAAATAATATATGTTTTCAAGAAACATATCTTTATAACTTTTTTCGGTACTTTTCCGTTTCGCCGGCGCAAATGTCGCCAAGCAGACTTTGTTGGCGACAACATACAGTATAAACAGAAAAAATGTTAACAAATGTTAGTTCTAATAATTTTTTATTTTGAAGGCATAAACATTTTAATATGGTTTCATCATTTAAATTGATCTCATCTCGCGTAAACTGCGCTACAAAAATCTAATTCTCTCAGTAATTATTTACATTAATTTCAAGTTAAATCTTAATTTGGAATAAAAGTTTAAATGCAAGAATTATTTCAATTCGTACTAATAGCTTACTCAGAAATTATGTAAAACCGTAGTGCTTTACTTCGCTAGTGCATTCTCATTAGAATGAATGAATTTAACTCTTGATTTTGTTTTTTCTATATTTTCGCCTTCGGTTGAGCGATGTGATTGCATCTAATTGACTTAATTACCGCGAATTGTCTTAGGGCATAAAATTTAATTATCTTTGTAAATATTCTCTGTAATTGTATGCCAGTATTGAAAAAAGCAATAAATCTGGTACGAAATGGCTATTTGTGTTTTAAAAAGGAGGTAAAAGGTTACCAGCGAAGATATTCCGTTTGACATCAGTTGTACCATTATTGGCGACTTTATCGTTTGCGCCTGCGAAACGGAAAAGTACCCTTTTTTCAATATTTGCTTGTAGTAATGTCAATAATTAATCCGAATAACTGCCATATTTGGGAGTATAATATTGCTTAAAAGTGCATTTTAATGCCTAATACCTGTCCCATATTTTAAAACTTCCAATTTTAATATCTAATCCTTGTAACAGTTTCAATTAACTTATAACAATTTTGATAATTTACCCCAGTAACTGTCATATTTGTCACTCTTGATATCCCTTTTATTTTTTATTTCCTTGTACGAAGTATTGTAATCACGAAAAATTCCGGATATCGTATTTCAACGAAAATATCCATTTTGACCGCTATCGAATGCAATTTAATGATGTTTTTGTGTAACATCCGTACGTAAAGACAGAATAAAGGACTCTTTTTCCCCAAAAGAATTACAAAACTGATTTAAAATGGATTCAGAAGAGATTTTTTTTCGTGGCGTCTGTACGTACGTTCGTAATAAACATCTTACTATTCTGTACGTATGTATGTATGTATCTCGCATAGCTCAAAAACGAGTAACTTCAGAACGTTGAAATTTTGTGTATAGGACTGCTATAATACGCAGCTGTGCACTTCCCATTCTGGCTGCAATTGGCCGCTTCAAAAGTATGTAAATATATATACCCACTTTGTTACTCGGCTCAGTGAGCTGAGTTTTTTTTTTAAATTTTTCTATGTTGGTAAATTGTGCAAAAATTACTGAATTATATTTTTCTTATCTTCCGGTTAAGGTTTCTATGCCTTTAGTTAATCTGCATGCAATGGTTGTAGAATTTTCAACAATTTAAAAGATGTTTAAGTGCGGCTAAGCATATTTTTTCAAACCATAACAGCCATATTTGTTTACATTTAAAACTTAGCAGAATAGTGAATTAAGTCAGTTTCTTCACCCTTAGTGTCTTTTTGCCAAGTGAGACCAAAAGGAAACTTTTAGTTCTGTGCACCAAAAAAATCTGCCATCTTGCCTGCTTGCCGAATTGCTTGTTTTTTCATAGGAATTGTATATTTTTCTATATCTTTCAATTTTTAAAGAAAATATTTTGAGGTTTTATGTATTTTTGCATTACCTCGACGTGAGAATTGAATGAGAAATCTATCTCTTATTAAATTCGAAGAAATAAATTTAGATGAAATGCAACAAAAATGCGTATAATTCAGTGTTCCATACAAGGAAGTCATGTGGTGTCCGCATCAGATTTTTTATAACCTTTCGCTATAACAGTTTTAGTAATTTTCAATATGTCAGTAATGTATCCCTATAACTATCATATTTTGTGAGTTTAAAATAGCTCTTAAAATGCATAGTTTTCAGTAGCCTGTTTATTTAAATATAATAACTTTAAATTTCAATAATTTTTTTCTTACAACAATTTTAATTAATTTATGTTTGAATAACCATTTCAATAACGTACTCTGTATCCGCCATATTTGTGAATTTAGTGTCGCTTAAATAATATATGCATTTTTGTTCACAGATGGTGATTTTGTTTTCATAATCCAAAAATTAATGTCTCAGCCTAAATAATTTATGCCGAGGCAAAATAAGAAGTTTTGTCATTTCATTTACGTAATAAATTTCCGTTTTAATCTTTCATATTAAAAATTACCAGTCTACCTGTAACATGTAATTTAATAAAAGTCTGTTCTCGTTTAGCAACTTATTTTTGCTTCAGTTTTTGTTTGGATAGCAATTTTTCATAACTTGACTCATTTTGCACATTTGCTTCGAATTCTGTTTTATTGGATTTTGCAGTGTTCTCCAGGAAATTGCGTTTTTAAGTAAATAGCTCCCAATGATTTGATAATTGTAAATACAAATCTTCTTTCTCTGTTTATATAAAATATATTATTTTAGATATTAAACTCGAACCGAAATAAAGATTAGACTAAATTTTTTGTCTGATTTCCATCCATATACATTTCAAAATTAAAAAAATATAACAATTAAACGAAAGAAATTATAATGAATATCGCAAAATTTTAAAATATACTTACGTACTGCTTAATTACTGATCAATAAATGTCTGTAACACTTTACCACTGAACAAAAAGGTAAAACAATAGACTTGAAGATAAATAAAGCACTTTAGAATCAATACCAGTGGGAATTACGCGACGAGGAATTCTGCTACTTTTGCATTACTCTGGGAAACCAACCTACCAGTGGCCGTGTGTTCATGACACCCTGAACACTGGTAGTTCAATCGAGATTCAAATTCCGAGAAAAGGTGTGGCTGCCTGAATGTTTTCTTGGTTTCCTCCATATTTAGCTTAAATGTGAGTCAGTTTCCGTTTGAAAATCATCGACAAAGGCATCCTTACCCTCAGGCGAATAACGTTCTCGTACTGTGCCTTAATCAGTTTGTAAGGTTTACAAACTTATTAACCAGTTATCTGATCGTTTTTCCTTTAATGTTCTACTTTCGTCGGATCCCACCAGGATGCAAATTAGTTAATGGAGAGAGTTCGCTACAATTTATCCCAGCGTTTGAAGTACTTAATCCGCTTTAGCGTTTTTAGACGTAACTGATCGCGAAAGTTGAGTTTGAGCCAAAGCTTATAGGCGTGTTTTGTCTTGCTTATCTTATATTTTAATGCTTTAAATATTTTTTGTTATTCCCGTTTGCTATGGAGCTGCATTTCTATTATATCACAGGGTGTTAATATGTTAATACAAGAGCGAAGGCTCCAGCTCCCCCGGCTGATGGTAAGTTTCTTATAAAGATAAGTTTTCTTAGAAAGATTTTTCTAATAAAGATAAAGTAGTAAAAGTTTTCTTATAAAGATTAGTTATAAAGATAAAGTTTCTTATAAAGATGATAAGTTTCTTATAAAGATAAGTTAGTTAGTTATAAAGATAAAGTTTCTTATAAAGATGATAAGTTTCTTATAAAGATAAAGTGGTATGAGTTTTCTTACAAAGATAAAGTGGTATGAGTTTTCTTATAAAGATACGTTAGTTATAAAGATGGAGTTTTAGTTATAAAGATAAAGTTTCTTATAAAGATAAGTTTCTTGAAAACATATATTATTTAAGCGACATTAATTTCTGTTGTATCACAGGATGTTAATATGTTAATACAAGAGCAAAGCCCCCAGCTCTCCCGGCCGATGATTCAGCCACAGAGCCTTAAGAGGCCAGTCCGACAAAAACAAAAACGCAAGATGTGTAACTGTATCCCAAGATGTGTAACTGTTAGACAAAAAAAAATGTTTAATTTAAACCAACATCTGTACCGGAGTTACGTTACTGAGGGATTAAGACGGCCGACAAATCTGTTGATTGCTTTTACAGATTCAGAGATTAAAAATTAAAGTAGTTTCGTTCCGTGTATATTAACCAGCGAAATCTTGGAAATCGCGGAATAAACATGCAAAGACTTAAAGTGAAAACGATTCCAAAACATCTTTCATTGCTTGAAGAAACATACTAAATCTTTTAAATCTCAGTGAATCATAAACGCACAAATAAATTTTAATGTAAAACTAGGTTAGGTTATTTAAATATGGCAAAGTACACGAGGACTATCTGCCTAACGGAGGGCGCCATCGTGGAAGACTTTGTTAGGGAAACTGGCTTTTATTCTTGGTACACGTGGGAAAAACTACGAAAAGCAACCATGCATCAAGTCCATTCTAGTTTGGAACTACGAGTTTTCAAGCTGTCTTAACCACTCGGCCACTGGTGGGGCAGAGTAAAATTAGACAGTTTAAAATCCTGGTGAATTCCTTTGTCACTCGTATAAAGGAAATTGTAATGGCCCGAATTGTTTTCAAGCAAAGTGCTTCATTTATCTGTATATGCGTTTGTAATATATTAAAATAAACATATATGGTATTTAATAAAACTATTTTGTGTCTTTCAGATTGCCAAATGAATATATGTCAACATGGAGAATGCCACGTACTTAACGAAGAACCAGGTTACCACTGCGACTGCGTGACGGGTTACTTCGGAGAAGTGTGCGACAAGTTTGATCCCTGCTCCTTGAGTCCTTGCGAAAACTTTGGCATTTGTCGAAACATCTCCAGCAACAAGTATCGCTGCGATTGTCTGTCCGGCTTCTCGGGAATGAATTGCAGCGATTTCAACCCCTGCGCCCTTCGCCCTTCCCCTTGCCAACATGGTGGTCGTTGCGAGAGCACGGCCAGCCATAAATATCAATGTTATTGCACGAAGGGATATTACGGCAAGACGTGCCAGTTTTTCGACCCTTGTTCCTTAGACCCTTGCCAGAATGGGGGGAAGTGCCAGAACGCTTCTCAGGTGGATTACGTGTGTAAGTGCGTCCCTGGATTCACCGGTGAGTCAAGTCGATAATTCTTCATAATACCGTGAGACTCATAATGTTCATGCATTATTTGCAGCAGCACATGTTATGATCGAGATATCCCATAATTTGTTAGAACCAGCCCACCTCGCTGAATTTCGAATGCTTACATTTTTCGAAAATTGCAATTTCTCGAAAAATACAGTATACATCGAAGAACGATTTTTCACTATATTTATCGGTAATTCTGTTGACAGTGGGGCATGCATTCAAATTCGATGATGTTGCCAGTAAATATATAAATAATCAGCTTCAATGCTGGTGCTTTTGTGAGTAGTTGTTTAAGTAGTAAAACGTGATTCAGTTGCAAGTTGCTCAAATAATCAAATTCAATTTTTTCATAAGTATATACTCGTATTTACTTATGAAATCTGAATTCGGTTGGAAGTAGATATAAATAAAAATAGTTGGTATTGGAATTAGATTATAAATATAAATAAAATGAAATAATCATATTCGATTAATTTACGATTATACGTATATCAAAAGCAGAAAAACTGATAATTAAAATGAGTATTTTAGCTCAATTTATTTAGCTTTAAATTTTATTTACATAAGAAATGCGAAACCGCAATTAGCATATGTGAAAACTTAATCTCAGATATTATCTGTTTACTTAATTTAAAATAGTTTTTTGAAAAATATAGCGCACCGGTCATTCGAGTTTGTTTTTAGGGTTATAAAATCGTGATTAACTGAAAAAACAAGATTCATTTTATGTAAAAATAGACTTAACGGTGCCGCCAGATGGAAAGTAGTTAGTGACTCTGACTACCGTACCGAAATGCCCAGGCTCGAATGCCGGTGGCATATTTCACAAGTGCACATCAGCGTAGCCACTGAGGGAGGGGTTTCGAAAATGGACCAATGAGCTTCTTTTGGTCTTGTGACGCTAAATCTTCGTGCATGTAAGCGTATGTTGTTTACGTTTTAATTTGCATTTGTTTCGCAGTTATAAATGTACGGCATAAAAGTAGAAAATCTTGTAGGGCTTTCATTTTTTATGAGTTTAATTAATCTGCTGACATTTCACTTTCGCGATTTTTATCACGCAGTTAATATTTGGATTGATGTTTACGGCATATTACTCGCTACTTTACACCGAGAAAATGACTCAAGCTACAATTAGCCTCGAATATTATGCATTTAATAACAAATGTGGATTACGAGAATTCATGTGTATAGTTATATTTTATTGAGCTGAGAAGGACTGGATATGTTACAATGAATCTAGTGTTTTCTTATTTCAGTGCTTGCATCCTTTTGATTTTGAAAATGTAAGATTCAGATTACATATTGTGTATGATCTGATTTTATTCATTGTTAACATTAAAAGTTATATGTGAATAAAATGAATATATTTGTGTGAATAGATAAATTCATTCTGTTTTATGAGTATATCTTCTTGTGTAGGCAGTATATTTAAGAGTGAGCAGTTATTAAATATGAAATTAACACACTAAATGCAAATTAGTGAATTACGAATGCAAATTAATGAAGTTCACTTTAAATAAAATTCTGCATTGGCTATTATTAATACACCAACTTTTTCATCTGGACTGCAATAAAAAGTGCTGACTTCTATTTACATACATAACTGGTGTAAATATTTTCCTCATTTGCATAGCGTTATGTAAAGATAGCATTTGGGCTCAGATGCGTATCACATATTTCTTTCGTCTTATTTATCACTTATTACGTAATATTTCGCATGAATATTTTTGCGGAGTATCCAACCATGTGTTTGTATTTATTTATTTCAAATTCTTTCAACCAGGTAGTGAAATCTTCATAATTGCTTATATTTGATCTAACTTCACAATGAAAATTTTCAGAAGAAATATACGATATGCAGAAATTTGTAGAAAAAGTTGCCTGGCAAAATATTTTCAACCATCTTGCTTAAATCTTAAAGCGTGCGAAAGGTCACGTGACATGACAGAAATATTACTGGATGCTCATTGGTCCATCCTAGAAGCCACTCCCTCGGTGGCTACACAGATGTGCACTTGTGAAATATGCATCTCGGTTAAGGCATGGATGTTATTTGTCCGTCTTTTCATAAGAGGTAACGGTGGCTCGCCTTTTAGGTGTTTCCATAATAAAGAAGTCACCGCTTCCGGCCTTAGTAGTGGTCAACGCCTATAAGCTTAAAGCCCGCTATTGGGGGGGGGAACTTAACGGTAAACAACGAATCTCTCAATTAATTCATTTTCGAAAATAACTGTCTTTCTGCCAGTCGTTTCGAAAATAAAATATACCTATTTATTTTATTACAAACATTCATTAACGTATAGAGATATAATAAAATAATTGCCACAATTAATAATTAACGATATTACAGTTTCCTGAATCTGTTCAGTAGTGTTGAAAATTAATGACCCTGAGAGTCTGCAGTAGTCTTTTACAAAGCGAATCAAAAAATAAAAACGTGTAAACAAAACGACTAAATAAATGCAAATTCAGAATTCATTCTGCTCCCTGTAGATGCTTGGAATACATTTCATTTCAGAATGATAAACATCGTTGGTACAATTCTGTATATCAGCACTAATATTTACGAAACAATGAATGGAATGAAATTTAGTTGTCTAATTATTAATTCGAAGAATAATGTTAAAAAATTGAAACTAAAATATTTATTTATATCCGTGGCTACGAATTTCGGTATTCATTTAAAAAAAGTATTAAAAGTAGTTTATAGCTTTAACGTTTTTTAAATAATTTACGAAGTTAAGAATTTTAATTTCGAACTGTTTAAAAGAAAGCAACTTTTTTGCATTCAATTTTCAATGCAAGCTCATAACGAGTTAAATTGTCTTTTTTATTTTAAACTTGGTTGTTTTTTAAATTCACCTTCCACAAAATATCTACTAAAGGCCATTCATATTAAAATTAACAGAATATTTTAAAAGGCAGCTGCCTAAATGTGGGAATATTTTTCCTATGTGCTTGTATAAATAAACATTGAATTTTAAAAGATGTAAGTGTGGAAATATTCACATGGGAAGAGAATGGCTTAGGCTGGTGCTGCCATCTATTGAGGTAAAGGCGAAATGTTATAATTCTGCTGAACTGAAATTTTAGATTACTTTAGTGACTATCTCTTTACGTCAGGTTTATATAAATCGATGCAAACATAAACGGCATTTTTTATCTTGAAAAAACTGATTTATTATTGTTTAGTTCTGGGTTGATAGGAATTAATTTCTAATTTTTAATTAGAATTGGAAAACTGAACAATACAGTAGAATTCTAAATATCTGGAATTCATTTAGCTAAAATCCAGTTCTCCGGATTCCCCCCCCTTTTTTAAAGCCAACTTTGATTCAATTTATTTGTGTACAATTTTGATTGATTTAAACTCTACAAAAATAACGGTAATTCAAATAAAGCATTTTTTGGCTAATCTTTGGAATATGGAACAGGTAGTTTGGCGACATTTTGATAAGGCGATAAAGGTTACTAGCTAGGACTTTAGCAGTGTACATGGATAAAGTCAAGAGTGATCGTAATAAAATAAAGATTAATCGTAATAAAATAAATTATTATTTTACTGAACCGCAAAATTTTTAATGCAAAATTTAAAATTGCGCAATGCCCTTTTTGTGCAATTCTGGGATGTTTTTTTAAGTAAAAATAGGTCGACGTGTACATGGATGATACCAAAGTTACACTTATGCCGAGATTATCAAGCATTCTGCTTGATGTGTTCCGAATGTCATCAGATGTTTGCTCTTTGGGCGCTGAAAAGAGAATAAGTTCGAAGTGTGAGTCCAGAATGGCAGGAGCTAATGGGTGTATGTGCTGTTTTTAAAAACGCGGCAAGCAGTGGGCGATTCTGCACTTTATCCCAATTTCGCACCTAATCTTCGTCATGATTAAGCATTTTTGTTCCATAAAAGTTCTAATATAAGCGTAATTCGGCTAGCAGATTGTTGAAAAAAATGTTGAGTAAAAAAAGAAAAAAAAAATGCCTTTACTTCGTGAAAACAAAATGAAGTCCAAAACAAAACTAGCAGGTTGCTGTAGCAGGGTTGGTCACCAAATTTTCGTCAAAAAATCGCCAAGTTACCATAATCCAAAGATTAACCAATCATTTTTTAAGAAAAATTCCGTTTCATTTTTAATTCCATGTATAAAAATTTTGCGGTTCAGTAAAATAATAATTTATTTTATTACGATTCGCTTTAATCAAATGAAAATAAGTCATGTTTTACACAGTTAAAGATATTTTCTTTGCTTAAATTTATTACATGAAAAATTAAAGTGTGATTCAGAGAGGTCTAAGTAAATAGAAACTAATTTTAGCATTTAATTTAAAATAATTTTTTAATTAAACAATTTTAAATTCATTTTTATTATTTTGTAGAATCCTGTGCGATTTGTTTTCATTTTCTGGAGGATATATTTTATTTTATGCATTATGTCATATTTGTGAAATAAAATACTAAAAACAAACAAAAAAAATTGCAATTTCCTGCTTGTTATACGTTAAACACATTTTTTACATATAAAAAAATAATAACCTATTTATCGAATCTTTCGAACATCGGATAAAAAAATTCAAAGGACGATCTTGATGAGTATTTAGTCTTACTTAATGCAACGACAAATTCACAAGTTTAAAACCTAATAAAATTTGTAAATGTAAACTATGTCTTAGATATTCTGGACGATATTTAACCGAATTTGAAATCAATCGTTTTCCCACTTTTATGCTTGTAATTTATTGATAATTTTAGTGATTTTTTTCAATTCATTCCTAGGAAAACAATGTGAAATTGATATCGATGAGTGTGCCTCTTCCCCATGCAAACACGGTGCTACTTGTCGTGATGGAATCAATGCATTTCACTGTCGCTGTTCGCCTGGTTATAGAGGAAAACGTTGTCATTTAGTTGGTAAGTTAATTTTCTGCATTACGTGCGTTATGTCTTCATTTCTGTTTATTATTATTATTATTTTACTTGAGCCTGAAATACGAAGATGATTTTGAAAGAAACTCAAAAATTCACTGTTTAGTTGTAACATCTTACAACGTATGTACGAAAGTGTCTTACAGAATTCTATAAAAATATGATGTTAAACTTCTTAAGAACTCTTAAGAAATTCAGCCAAATTTCCTATAAACTAACTCAGAGATCTATAGAATTCTATAAAACAGTGGTTCTCAGCTGGATTGGTATTAACCCCTTGGGGGGCCGTGAAAATTTAAATGGGTCAATATTGATTAACGGTCGATTTGGGGTTGATAGACGTATATACACCGAGAATTGATCGACATAATAAATTGGCATAACCACTAATTATAAAAAATATTTGTTAACCCTTTAATGCATTCTATAGTTTGGTTAAAATTGGTTTTCCTAAATTTATACCAACGTAATCAAATGTTTGTATCTTATCTTAGTTTATTATTTAAAAAAATTGTATTTTATTGGACAGGTTTTTAATTAAAGGAAATTAATTGTTTATAACATACTTAAATACTTTGAAACGACTAACATAATTTGTTTTTCTTTTATGTTATTTCTAAAGTATCAGCAGATATAAATTCATTTTGATCTGCACTTATATCCCTTGGTATTTAGGTATCAGTAAAAAGCGTTCGTTAGGTATTCGAATTATAGCTGAAGAGTGATTGCTGTAGGTTCAGGGTTTAATAAGAAGTGTAAGTGTATCAAATTTACTATATTCTTCTGTATCTCGTTATAAAGGGATAACATTGACTTCATTTAAAAGTTCGTGAAAACTACCTCAGAGTAAATACCTCATGTAATTTCGTACAAAGCAGAATACTAATACGAAATGTTTACATACAAAATTTTAAGCAACTTTATTGCCGAAGGAAAAAGTTATTTTTTTTAATTTATCGAATGTTAATTTATGTTCTATTATATTACAAAGTTATTTACCATTCTTTGAAAGTTTTCAGTATTATAAGCAAGCCATTTTGATGTAGACATTTACTATTAACATTAACCCTTCAATAATGGTTAAATCACTTAACCCTTCAAATATTAGATTTTAACTTGAAATATGCGTGTTAACAAGAGTTAGAGAAGTGAAATTTCTAGCTGGGAGAGAACAGTTAATGGAATGTTAAGAATTTTGGCAAACTTCCAGCTGTTCAGTAAATCTTTATCAGTAGGGCGCTAAGAGAAATTTTCTGATCAAAAAATGCCATTTTGATCATGAATGTTTTGTATAATGAGAATAAATGTTATTTCACAGCATCTAGGTTATCAATGTTTCAGGATGGTATACATTCTGTTGTAATATCACCCACATAATTAAATGCATATTCAACGTTGGTTTCATGAAAGAAACGAAAAACAAATTTAATTAATTTTGTCAATACTAGGTATTTCCGTTTTCCGTCTTTTTTCAGTGATTTTAGTCTCGACTTTCTTGCTTTTACTTCCTTTGGACTGAATAGTTCAGCCCAGAAGTTTCTATCAGTGTTTGTTTGTTTGTGTCTATATAAGACAACTATTTGACAGTTTCTGACTTCTTGATCTAACGCATTTTCGTCTTTTGAAATGACACTTAGTATGTTATCCGCTAATTTCACCACAGAAATGAAAGTGTTGTTTCGCAGAACGAAACAAGATTAATGCCATTAAATTTGATGAAGATAGACTTCTTAAGGGATATTTTTTTCTTTTTCATATCATAATCAGCACATTCTATAAATTGCCTTTTCAATATACCCTCCCTCCCTCTTTTTTTTAATGGAATTAACTTTTCCAGATTTCCTAAACACTGCTTCTACATCAAAAACATTAATCTGGGTTTTAATCTTCATGAAAATTGTCCAGGAAGGTTAGCTGCCCATACAATGAACACGGTACATATCATTTGCATGACGGTACATAATGAAGTAATACACGTGCATGCAATTTACGAATTTCTTGCGTGTGCATGCAGTTTCCAAGATTAAGAATTTCTGGATTTAAGAAAGTATAAAATGCAGAATTCCGGCTAAATCCGGACCACAAGCCCCTGTCATTGAATGTGCAAGAGGGAATAGCCCCCTTTTTGTGGTAAAATGCCCGCATTACAATAGTTTTAATATTATACAAATAAAATGCTGTTATAAAAATCATAATTATCATATTTAGATATAATAGAAATAGCCTTAATATATTCTGCCTTATTTTAGATTAAACGCTTATTATACTAATTCTTCCACGAAAATCTGGTAAGACTTTCTTGTAAATTACCACTTCTGGTTTATCATATATAAACAAAATCTAATATATTGTTTTCAATAGTGATTTATATATGCACCATATATTATATATGAGTTTTAATAAAAAATTTGAGAAATTTTGGATTATATTATAATTTAGTATTTTTTCATAAACTACATAATATATGAACATATATTTTTTCATAAACTACATAATATATGAATATATATTATATTAATATATGAATATTTCATAGCTTCAAGCACTCCTTCCAGTTTATCAGTTTTAGCCAAAATCTAGTACATTTTTACCTGTGATATAAAAGTCTTAAACACTAAAATTGAAAAATTTTGGATTATATTTTAATATGGTTTTCCATTAAAAATTGTTATGGGCTTCGAGTAAAGTTCCACTTCTGGTAGTCTAATTTTATCCAAAATCTAACGAATTTTTAATACGAATACAAAAGGTTTATATAAGGAAAACTGAAAATTTTGTAAGTTTGATATAAGAATTATCGGGAGCAAAATAATTGTTAAAAACATACAGACATCATTGTAAAATTTGTAAAAACGAATTGTAAGTACCCTAGTTCGTGCTTATTCACTGACAACTCACTTTCGAATTTTTGGACCCAAAACATCACTTTCTTACGTATAAGTTGGCGAGAGGTAACAACCATGCAAAATCAGCATTTTTACATGTCTAAGCGCTAAATACATATCACAGGACTAGAAAGTCGCCCACCCAATTCAGCAGAGGCATGGGTTCATTTTAGTTCCACTTTTCGCTGATAGATGGCGCTATTTCCGTTACACCATAAGGAAAAGAAGGAAAAAATTGAGATTATGCAGTATTTGTTATCATTTGTGAGCATATTACAAAATTACTAACAAATTAGCAGTCATTTATGTGTTCACAACTCTGCGTTTTAAAGATGGAACATGTAAATGATTTTTCAAAAAACACATTTAATTTTTTTTTTAATTTATTCGTGATAATATTAATGCAAGGTCATCTATAGGTAAACGTTTAAAGTAAAGTAGATTCTAATGCCTCAAAATAATACCACTGTAATTAAGGTACAATAACACGCCGAACAAATATTAATTTAGAAGTAAAACAACAAAAATCAGCGTTGTATTTTCAAAATATTTATATAGCGTTATATTTATTCCATTTGCGCTTTTGCAGCTGAAGATGATGGTTCGGTAAAACCATCAAAACTAGTCCTGTGAAAAGTTTGACTTCTAAATTAATACCAGTCTTTTTAGGGCAAGCGTTATTTAATACCTCCGTTTTTTAAATTTTATGCGATTTTTTAAAATGTCTCCAGTTTTAGGGACACGCTATCTTTATCAATACCCAAGTTTGCGTCGTCAGTTTGAAAATTGTATTCTAATATTTTCGAAATTTGCCATTCGCTTGGAAGTTTTTAAAAGTGTAATAAATTTTCAAAACATTTTCTAATAGAATCCTTCGCAAATAAAATCAGTACATTCGTGGAACCCAATTATTCAAGAACTAACAATAATTGATTTCAATCCCAGTAGTCACCGATTTTCCTTATTCGTTACTAACAATCCGTTTGATAATAGTTATGAATCGTTCTTTCATTTCTTACTGTTAATCGCTAATTTATTTCTAATACGTACTGAGAAAAATATGAATATAATCTTTTTCTTCTTTCTTACAGAACACTGCCCTCCTCAAACGATCCACACCAACAAAGGAGTGTTCCGCTGGAACTCCACTTCCCACGGGAGGGCCCATCTGATCGAGTGCCCATTTGGCTCCATATTCCCGGATCGAGAATCGGCAACGGGGTTTGCCAAGAGGCGCTGCTATCTGCTGTCCAACGGTTCGGTCGCTTGGGGACGTCCGGACCTGTCCAGTTGCAGGGAAGAGGTAAGGCATCATTCTATTAGTTCCTCCTCTCTCCTAAGCCATCTGGCGTCCTTTTCTAGAGGTGGAAAAGGGATTAAGAATGACTCTATGATCTTTCGGTGTTCCGCAATTGCGTTGGTCTTTTCATTTATGCGCCGTAACTAAAGTGGACATTTGTCTTATTAGTAACTTAAACATAGCTTTTATCCAGGTAAAAGTTATTCATTCTTTGTGGTAACTTAGTACTGAAATTTGTACCACTTAAAGAATTAGCATTTCATTATAAGCATATTCGTATCACTCAGGTAATATTTCAAAATGTGCAATACAACTTTTAGATGTCAAATCATGGATTTAATTTCAATTATTTAACTTCTGTCTTTTAAAAAAGATACTGTAAGTACTTGTTTAGTTTTAAACTAACCAGTTTTGTTCAGTTATTTACCTTTTCTATTTTCTCTCATTTCCATTTCCTGCCAGAATCATAATTCAGTTTCGCGTGCTATGCAAAGTAGGGTAGAAAGATACTGTTTAAGCTGGTGTCTGAGTTACTGCCAACAGAACGTGATCTGCCTTTCAGCCACGTTGCTTCGCTGATATTTAAGCTCGCTATTTTAAGGCCGTGCATATTAATTTCCGGTTCATCTACGTTGATAGTAGGCTCCATATCTAAGAGCTAGCTCGCGTTAATTTTCTCTGTGCAGCTTCGAATGATTATTTAGCTTAGGCTTAGTTTTAATTTTATATTTCTATTTTGACTTGACTTAATGAAGCCAAACGTATTGTCTGAGTTTTGTAAGCAACAGGAGTGCGGAATGTAAATTCTTTCTTGAGCTGAATAAAACGGAATTGTCACCCTTCATATGCATTGCCATCGATGCAATTGAACTTAGCGAATAGCCGCATCACAGTTCAAGTACAGATCTAGTTAACAAAAGTAAAATTTAATTTAGCTAGAATCTTACCATATTTAACAGCACTATTTATCATTTATTTACAAATGCCTGACTTTTGGTACTTAAGCCGTTAGCACTTGTAAAGAACGCTCCTGAACTCTCTACTAGAAAGACCTATGATGCTCTCGAATAGAGAGACTCCTCACACTACGAGGACTATATTTCATTTTAATACCTATTTTAAAGAACTGTGAATGGCAACGATTTAAGAGTAATACGCATGCGTAAAGAGAAGAGACCTTCTGTCAGACGCCTGTCAGAAAAGAGAGTTTGGAAAGCTCCGCCAGCGAGCTGTGGAGACTAAATTTGTGCAGTGATGACGAGTGCTATCTTCGTTAACATCTCTGATCGTGTCACCAACTCGGATATATACTCAAGTTTTCTAAATGTATTAATTAAATGTTGTATCTGTGGTATGTGCTGGGAATAAAGTGATGCATCACCAATACCAGTGGTTGATTCCGTTCCCACTGAAGCATCCACGACGTCACACACTCTTGCTTTTCAGTACTTCTGGGTGACAGAATTAAAACTAATGCAGAGCATATATTTACATGTTCTTTGGTTGTCTTGAGTCTCAAAGAAATGGAGATAAGAGATACAGTCTCCAGGTCTATTAACTGGTAGTTCTCCTTATTCTCTTACTAACAAAAGAAGGGATAGATGGCCTGTGTGCTAGGGATATCCATTTTTTAGGCTACCACAATCAATATATTAATGGCCATCCTAAATCCAAAGATAGAAATAAATAGAGTGGACACCAGGACTTTGGCTAAGGGAACCATTATTGTATTGTATACAGATACTGCAAGAAGTAATTGTTGTAGTGTAGAAACAAGACAGTGTGGCATATGGTTTCTGCTGTTAATAATAGAAGCTATAATAATCTATCACACTGATCTATTAGGAAGAAAGATGAGATAAATATTTAAACGCATTATTATAATAAAATATTTTTACGAATTTTGTATATATGTAAATAATTTTATTGAAATTATCCGTTAAATTGTGGGATCTCTCGTATAATACAACATTCCCCCCCGGGGGTCGACGTAGAGAACTCTGCGAAGCTACTGGCTAGGATCTGTACCTAGGCAGTCTCGGCCACGGGGGTAAAATTTATGAACTTGGTGGTTCTGAAGGCTCTGGGAAAGGTCACTTATTGGCCGGCCCCGGAGTCTGGCACGTCCTAGCGCGGCGTGGTACTAGTAACCCGGGAGTCTCCCCCGGGATCGCTGGGTAATGTCCCGCTGCGACGGGCTCGCCCGAGCGACTGGTAGGAGCATTAGACGACCGGTGCTGCCTGGGGCCCGTCCCCAAGTGGTACGCTGCTCTTCTGGAGGGTAATAGTGGAGGTTGAACCTCCCCAACGTGCCCAAAGGGAGAGTGGACCTGCAGTGAGATTAAGTTTACTCGGAGCAGGGAAGCCCAAACGCCATAGTATAATACAACATGAAAGGCTTCAAGAGAGTGGAGCTTCGCCGGAAAAATAAGTTTACAGACACAAGTCCATTTAACATCGAGGTAGAATGTCTCTCCAAGATGCTTTTTGAAAATAAATTTTGTCACTAAATTTAACGAGAAATTGACAGGCGACGTTTTTGTCCAACCCCTGTGTAACTATAACTGGTTCTATCACTATGCAACTGTAACTATATCCTACCCTATGTAGCTGCAACTGTGTGTGCCTTCCAGCTAGTTCGAGAAATAGAAGCTACTGGAAATTTCTCGGCGGCCAGGACAAAACTATGTCAGACCTGAGAGAGCATCAGTTTACAGTGTTTAGTTCAGAGTTGACTTAAAGAACTGAGAGAGCTTCACGAGAATTTTGCATTGCGTTATGTTTATTATTCTTAGTAGTTTGAAGTGGTAGCTACTGATTGTGCTCTGTCATACTGAGAAGAGCTTTGCGAGTACGTTTGTGCAAAGTACCAGGACTGTGAAGTTTTCTTTTGGAAGAAGAATTTATCAAGCTACCATCCGTTCTATGTGCATTCAGTTCATTACGAACTCAAACATGTATGTAACAGTATTAAAATTCATTACAATACTTGAAAATAAAAATACGTACTAAAAGAGCTCTTGGTGAATATATATTTGCGATTCCGTAAGAACCGTTTGATTCCGTAAGAACTACTTCGGGATGGCGCACTGCAGAGTTTTAGATGTGTGTCTTTATGAGTGCATGAACTGTTTTAGTTTTCACTGTGGTAACATAATATATTAGAATTAATTGCATGCTATATTATCTACTTAAATTATTAAATAGTTATGCATCATTAAATTTTAGTTAATGTTGATGGAAAGGGACTATCTACTGAACACATATTCCTGATACGCTTAAGATCAGAGTTTCGCTTTTTGCAGTTCGAAGGGGGAATCGAATGCGTAAGATACATAAAGGCATGAAGTGTCCCTTTTTACTGATACACATACTGCGTCCTTGTCTGTTGGATCTCATTCTTGTTACCAAGGTGTTATAATTACTACAGTATAAGCAATTTGACGCTGAATTCTACCTCTCCGGCAAGAAAGGTTTTGTTCGCTTACTCAACCGTGGAAACGCTTATTACTTATTTGTTTGTAAATGCCTGGCTTTGGTATTTAAGCCATTAGCAGTCTTGCTTCCTAGTGCTTCGAAAGAATTAAAACCATTAAGTGCAGAGCATGTGTTTAAATGTGTTCATAGGCTGTCCAGAAACACACAGAGAACACATATTTGAATTCTTGAGTCTGGTGATGCACAATAAGGCGATCATCTACTAAGAATAATAAGGCACAAAAGACAGAGTAATGCATATATATACATGTTTGTACACGTTTAGATCGTTTATCCTTATCGTATAATCACATATAGCGACGCGCAATGCTATGAGAAACTTTTTCCAGAAACCGGCTTCTTCCAGTGCTATTTTAAAAGGGAGCTTTCTAGTCAAAATAGTTGCTCTGGACGATGTGCTGCGGGTACGTACCTTGGACATTTAACGAGGTCAAGGAAACTGTTTCCCTTACAACTTTGTCTCTCGTAGTTCTTCGCCAATTAATCTTCGCGTAAATCAACCACTCAGATATCCTGGAAGGGAAGATTTTCAGAAATGTTGAGGGTAGCTAGCAGCATCTGATAGCGATTTCAGAAAATCGCGTAAGAACAAATTCAAAAATTCCATCCAATCTTCATGCATAACTTTTAATTTTCTATCCAAATTAAAATAGTTTTTTGTGTAACAAACCTGTAGACACATAAAGTTTTTTAAAAGTATGAAGCATGTAAATTCAGCAGTCCCCTTATCAAGATATGCACTCCAGATCTCCTGATTACCAGTTACCAGGCGTGTTTCCAATTACACCAAGAAGGCGAGTGGTAGAGGAGAATTATTCTTTACATCCCCCCACTTAAAATCCTACTGGGCAGGAAGGGACTCAGTCGCCAAATCCTGCTGATAATTAATTATTGTCCGCCGCATTTTAGTTCGAGCGTTATTTATGGTATTGTTATAGTTATTTGTAGGTTTATATCGGATCAGGAGACATGAAAGATCAGTGGTGACCTCGCCGGGTTTCGAACTCTTGACTACCGTCTGGTAATCTGACATGCTTTAAATTAGCACGTAAGCATGCGATAGAGAGGGGACTTGCTAATAAATTAGCTATCTTTTATCGCATGAACTCTATCCCAAGAAATTTAACTCCATCCAAAAGTGCAGATGAATTTCGTACATCGAATTTAATACAGAAATAAAGGATAACACTAAGCATATGTAATTAGTTTTAAAAAAACTTATCGAGAATAACAAAGAGAAATTGCATAGGCAACATAAGGAGCTACTTTACTAGGCTTACAAAAAGTAGTGAAGGTGTTAAAGCTGAGTAAAGTTATTTTTAAAGAAGAGAGAGTTTGTATGGTTATTCTAACCTGGAGAAAATATCTCAAGTGTTCATAAGAATAAACAGCTTGTCAATAGAAAGCAGGTGCATTTTAAAAATGTTCCTTGCGTTTCGAAATTTTTAAGTATTCTTCTGACGTAAAAATGTTCGAAACCGTTCTTAGATTCCTTCGAATCCTTAAAAATATCAGCAGAAGAGCTCCTATCTTCATTTTTCTATTTTGTTTTGTATTAAGCTTTTCTAAGCTTTCCCCAAGTGGCTACTTGTTGCTTCCCTTTGATGCTATTATTAACTTCGGGTATAGTAGCAGGTAAAATACAGGTTTAAAAAAGATTTATAAAAGTAATATACACTGGTGTGCAAAAATTAAGGACGAGACGGTTTTTTCAAAAGCTTTCCAAATCAACACATTTAATACCGGAAGATCCTTACGTATTGACGTAAGGACATGAGTAATGTAAGCAACACTTACTAAAAGAGAAATCAGAGGGATAAAAAGAAGCTTTATTGAAAAAGTAGCATGGAGCGCAATGCGACTGATGGCCGAAACATCCCTGTGATGGGTGTCCAGGAAGAAACATCCGGTCTTTAGTAGGGGATATGATCTCCCCTGACTGCTAGGCAGGTTTCACAGCTTCTGCCCATGCTGAGAATGAGGGTGTCAATGAGTTGTTGAGGCATTGCTGCCCATTCGTCTTGCAGCGCCAATCGAAGCTCCGGAATCGTTACTGGTGGTAAGGTACGAGCTGCCAAGCGTCTGCCTAGAAAATCCCATACATGCTCGATGGGATTGAGATCCGGAGATCGTGCCGGCCAATCCATACGTTCAATATCCTCACTCTCTAAGAGCTGTTCGGCAGCTACTGTGTGCGATGACATGGTGCATTGTCGTCCATGAAAAGGAACTGCGGACCCATAGCGCCTCTAAAAAGACGCACATATGGAAGAAGAATCTCGTTACAATAACGGGTCCCGTTGACTGAACCTGCGTCGAAGATGTGAAGGTCTGTACGACTACCAAGCATGATGCCTCCCCAAACGAGAACACCGCCACCTCCATACCTGTCCCTTTCAATGATGTTCGAGGGATGATTGCGGCTTCCCGCTCTCTCCAGATGAGTATGCGATGAGAATCGCTACTCAGACTGAATCTGCTCTCATCTGTAAAGAGTACTCGTCCCCATTCATTGTCTCTCCAATTCCGGTGTTCCCGGCACCACAGAGAAACGCCTTCTCCGATGGGCAGGCGTTAGAGGTACACACCGTACAGGGCGTCGTGCAAACAGACCACCACCGTGCAGTCTTCTGGCCACGGTAAAACGCGATATCGGTCGTCCAGTCGCCTGTGTCGTGTGTCTAGCGATTTCTCCCGCTGTCTGCCGCCTGTTTCTTCTGGCCTGTAAGGCAATATACCGGTCATCTGCGGGTGTGGTTCCTCGTGGACGACCACTACTAAACCCCCGGATAGCTGTTCCTGTAGTTTGAAATTGTCTCCAAAGTCGTGAAACGATGCTGTGAGCAATTCCGAACTCTGCAGCCACACTTGTCACACTGCGGCCTTCCTCCAACTTCCCAATGATTCGACCTCGGGTAAAAGCATCCAGATGTCGTCTAACAGATTGATTATTCGCCATTTCTCGCTCAGGCAGCAACTCGGTGTGATTTTAACTGCTATACGGCGTGCAATCTCTTTGCCAGAAATACTGATCTTACACCGACAGCATGCTTTATACTACTCAGACACTTCCCCATTACGTCTACCTGCATATCTGCGCATGTGCTACCGTAAATCACCTTACTTAATCTCCTGATTGGTCTTTCTGTCCGCTCTGCCTCTTCGTTCAGCTGATATGCTAATTTTTCGACTTCGTCCTTAATTTTTGCACACCAGTGTATTTCTTAATCAAGCTGTTTTACAGGTTTTTAATCCTGAAGCAGATCTCAGAACTTGAGCCTTATAAATGTACTAATCAGCCCTCGAATCTCTAACGAATTGAGCATTACTTCAAATAAAAATTACAACCAACATATCTGTGTCCTGCTCAATGTTCAAGCCTTGTTTTCAATCCCCAGTGATCTGTCTCGATTAATTTGTTGACGTGCTGGTATTGACGTAAACTCATTGAGCGCACGGAGAGAACTAAACTTTTTTGACCGCTCAGTGTTGATGTTACCTCGTTGAATGCATGGAGAGAACTAAAATTTTTTAACTGCTCAATGATCTCTCAGAGACTGTTTTTGATTGCTGTCATTTTCAAAAACATTACATGCGAAAGTAAAATTGATTAGCTGAGTGCGTCCACGCCAGACACATTTTTCCGCCACTGCGTTTCATTTTTCTTCACCGTCTTTTTCTCATTGCCTTTCTGAATAAGATTAACCAAGATGCTGATGTCACTGCTAACTCCTAAATAACGTAAGCAACTCATGCCTTAAAGATCATTCACACCTCATAATGTCTTAGAACTAGCATCAAAACAGTTCGTAGAATGTAAATCATAAAATTAAATCATAATAATAAGGCGTGCCGGCTACGTTCTTAGTTTCCTGCCAGCGCTGATAGTTGTAATAATTAGGCTTTGCGTTCTCTCACTGGCGATACTTTACTTCTGACTCTCCGGTAGAGTTAGTTAGGCAGCTTCTAGTATTAGTATCTAACTATGCAGTCCTTGAATATTGTTCCACGTTTGAATCAATTTGATAGGTTCTATTTTGTTTTGCATCACCACGAGTTGTCGAAATTGCAGCACAAGAGAGTGTCTTTATGTTCAAAATTCTGTTTAAATAAAAAGGTTATTTTAACCATCTCAGGACTTTATCATTGTTCTCAAACATAGCAGTAATTTGCTTCACGTTTGTCAGGGTTATTAAACTAAAATAACATTACCAGATCAAAAGTAACCCTACTAAATAATAGAACATGCATTGTTTCCTTCTTCAGCCTCTTTCAGCTTAACAGCTGAACACTCACAACATAATGCTTAAGTGACACCTTCACACTTTCCATTATTGGTCTTTCATTGTCCTTTCACAGACGTTAAATGATATGTGGACGTGTGAACGGATTTAGAATCCCTAACAGGGTTTCAACAGGCTGAGAAGCATTATTCCCAAGCTGAACAGTCGCTCTGTTGGTGGAGTAAATTAATGTCAAATCGATCCAGAAATAAACGATCTACAAACGTAATACACACAGTAAGAGCTTGCAAACATAATATAAACAACAATATACAATAAAGGTATTACACAAAAATGCACTAGATAATTAAATAAAATACAATATATTTCAGGAGAAAAACTCATAAAAACACAGACCGCCAACAAAGAAATACGCATATTTACAGCAAATGTACAACAGTATTAATCGATCTGCTAGCTAATTGTTCATTTGATTATGCTGCTGACACATTGACTTCTTGCAGGGTTTTAAGAACGCTGAAGATCTGACTGGAGAGTTGTGGATGTTGACAGAAGATCCTAAGCATTTAAATGTGGAACGCTTACAAGAAGCCACAAAGCAAATTGAAGGAGTTATTGAATATGCGATTTACGATAAAAAGGTATGTTTCATTTAATTGCTTGTAGGTTTTTATTTGTATTGTTTTATTCTTTAAATAAACAACTTTAAATAAACTTTTTAGCTTAGTTACTTAAAATTTAGATCCACATTTTTAATACATTAAGATTTCTTCATATTTTTTCCTCATTGAAAAAATTTAAATACGATATGCTTTTGTTTCAATTTCTTTAAAATTATGGTTAAGGAATTATGCGTAGACGGAAATATTTTATGAAATCCGCCAAAATTTTAACTAAAAAATGCTTCACTATTATACACTGTAATACATCCACAAAGTTTTAAGACTAAATTAGTAAAAAATCGAAAGTTAAAGAAAATTTCTTAATTCAGTATACAATCCCTGTACTCCTTAGACTTCAGTTGAGAATTCTTATAAGTCTGTATACAACTGTCGTCACATTCATACAGCTGTTTGATTCCTTCATAGAACTTAGCTTGTGAATACCGTTTATCATGTCATAATTCCTTGTAAGTTTGTACAATTCCCTACACATTCACACAGATGGTTTGATTCCTCCATAGAACTCATTTGGGGGAATACTTTTTGTGGTCTTTTTGGATTCGTATAAATTTATACAATTCTCAGCATGTTCATACATTTAGTCCCATTTCTTTGCATAACTCATCTTGTGGAGTATTTTTTATGGTCTTCTGAATCCTTTTAAGTCTATATACTTCTCTGCACGTTCAAACTGCTCTTTGATTCCATCTTACGGAATGCTCTTTGTGGTCTTCTGAATTTCTTCAATGCGCACAACTTTAAAGGTGAGACTTTAAGGTGAGATTTTAAATAAGTTAACGCACAACTTTTAAGGTGAGACTCCACTTTAGAAAAAAGAAAATAATCTGCCACAGTTAATCGTAGTGAATAAGATAGGACTGAGAATTACCACATTCTCCCTCTCCTAGAAGTTGCTCATCAAGTATAACGACGTGAACAGTGAACTGTATAACGACGCACTGTCGTACAGTGATCCGGTTATTCGATTGAACGTTTTCAAGCCTAGCAGCTGAATTATATTCTGAAGTCTGTCCATTATGTGTTTATAAAGAATGGAGCATTCCGTTTGTATTTCAAGAACAATTTCCGTAGGAATTATCCTTTCCCGTTAAAAATGTGACCAACCGGCTTTTTATACGATATTTCTGAAACTAAACTTCTATGGTCAAGATTGCGTCCTTCACCTTTAAGAAGTCTCTGAGTGTTAACTAAGTGACATAGGTTACCACCAAACACATTTATTCTGCCGACTTAAATGTTTGTAACTTTAAACACTTTTTGTCATCCGATGATTTCTTCCTCAGGTAATTTGTTCGTGAAATGAAGTATTCGAAGTTCGGGTGTCTGTGGTTCAGCTGTATAAGCATACCATTATATTGAATGATCTTAGATAATATTTATTATTTAATATGAAGTTCCATTTATTGTAATAACATCTGGCTAAAGCCGATAAATACGATCTAAATGCAGGATTAAACTCAACATGCACTTTCATAGTTTTATGGAAACAAGTATCACACTTGAAATACGTAGCATAGTTAAATAATTGCATAATTAATTAAAAGTAATAAATGAAATAGTTAATAATTGCATAGTTTGAAGAATATATCCTAATGTGGTTTAACTAGGTACGTTCTATGTGTGAACTTTTTGTAAGACGACAGATATCAGTGCGATGGTGAAATTCTTCCCAAACGCATTTCAGCATGTCCATTTGGGAAGAAATGCATGGACATTGGCCATGCCAATCTTTGTAGCAACTATTGTGATGCGTTGCTTACGATCGTCCAAACCTATAAGAAGGGCAGGAATAAAACTCGATCCTCATCACAAGAATTAATTACGCGGTTTTAAATCTGGATTTGCTGATGGTCAATATATGCCACAGCCATGTTCTTTGTTGGATGACCAGTCCAGTTCCGAGGAAGATTTTCACCCAGAAAGACAATTCACTGAACAACTGCAAAAAGTTTGTTTTCGGATGTTCAAGTATACATTTCTTCAACCTGATTATTAACGGTTATATTGCTCATATTGGTGTCAAGGCTTATGTTGTTGCTGCGTAACCTTCTTCAGAAATTCTGGATCAGCAGTTGCCTCTAGCAATCTCCCACCCTTCCCCATATGGCTCCTGGTTCGGAACCAGACTAACTTCGTGAATCACGGATTCGCGTATCGCCGTCACTTTTACATTTGAAAACATGCAAGGATTAATCATCAATAAGATGGAAATAAAATTAGAATTTAATAATAAAACTATTCTAAGAATATACTATGGAATTCATATCCAAGTCTGCATCAATTTCATGTGTTGTTTTTATTTCGTTCCAGATTGCCCATAATATGCTGTCCATTGTGAGCAACATGTTAGCAATAAATGAGTCGCTTCTGAGGATAGGAGACATGAATGGTACTACTGCCAATCGGTTAGTATTTATTCCTGCTTTTCTGACATATCATGAAAGAAATATTTTTAAAAAAAAATGTGAATATAAGTAACTCAGTGAGAACTAACTAACTCAGTGTGAACTAATTCATAAACAACTTAATGGGAACTATTGAACATATTTTGTTTATAATGCATACTGTCGGTTTTTCTCTGCTTTTATAATTAGAGTAAAATGATTCTTTTCAAAAACATTAATTTAACTAGAATTTCTTTTCGTAATCATTTGCTATTCCTTCGTATTCATTTTAATCATGTATTTTTATGGCTCATTTCTTATCAATTACCTTTAGATTCTTCATAATAGCTATCCAGCTAACTCGTAGGAAAAATATCATGATTTTGGAAGTGCATTTAGTGCATCCGCTATAGTACTGACCTACCAACGGATTCAATGCTAGTCATGAACGTATGGCAATTCCAAATCACGTCTACAGATGGTGCCACTACCATCCATTTAGTTCATCCACTAAAGTACTCATCAAAGAACGGAGAGGTCCACAGTTCAATACTAGCCAACGAAACCTGTGACGCTTCAAATCTCGTCGACAGATGGCACTACTACCTTTCATGAGTCGATCCGCTAGAAGGCTCATCGAAGAACGGAAAGGTTTGCAGTATTATACCACTTTCAAATATTATCGATAGATGGCGCCACTACCATGTATAGAGTCTACTTTCTACAGTATTTTTGCCTCAGTATCTTTACTTAGAATGAAAATTACGGATTGCTGTAGTTCTCTTCTAAACGCTTTTCGTGTGCGATAAATCCCTTGGTATTGTAGTCGCTTTTATGTCTTCAGCCATAACTGTGTAGCTGTTATTTTTTTTAATTAGAACAAACAAGAAATTTTATTATGTAACGTTTATTATTTTATTATTTTAAACGAGAAATATTTATTATTGTTTATCCTATGTATTTCTATTAAAAAGAAATAGTATTCGAATGAGATGAAGAAAAACAAAACAATATATATATATATATATATACAAAGAGAAGAGGAGGATGTTTAAAAGCTATTGCTAAAAAGTACATTAAGTCTCTCTTGTTCATGTCATCTTTCTGCCTATATATATATACACACACACAAGACGAAATTTCAGCAAGAATTGATGAAAAGTATTTCATACTGTTTATAACTGCATGCAAATTTTTTGAAGCTTCCATATTCTTCAACTTTCAATGACTGGAAATTTTCACAAATACGTCGTAATGGATAACTAAACAAAGAAGGAATTTTATTTCTATTGAAAGCACGTTAATGGAACGGTGACCATACAGAAAGGTCGGCTGTTACGATTGGAATCCATCCAAATGCTTTCTGAAGGATTTTAAACAAGATCGTTCTCAAAACGAGAGAGATACAAAGAAAAACTTTTATAGTACGAAAGAACAACAAAGTATCTTTTCAACTTATTTCGTAGTGTTGAATAGACTTTCTGAATTGAAGATAACGACATACTGTAACTCAACAGAATGGCTCTGTGTTTACTTTTTATTTTTGTTCAGAGAATTAAAACTGTTAGAGTTACTTTGATGAGACTGGTTAGAAATAAAGCAGGGGAAAACATTAGCTATTTCATTAAATACGATTTAACAAAAACAATATTTTGCACAATTTTAAATAGAGCAACCTTCTTCAAAGCGCGATTTATTTTTAGATAGACATAACTATTTAATGAGGGAATGAAAGGGAATTTATTTAGCAGGTGGTTTTAATAAGAAGATGGACATTTTAGTTTCTTCAGGATTATTCGATTTTTATTATTCCATGCTTATTTTAAATTCTTCACCATGTATTTTCATTTCAGTTTAGAGTGAATCGGCTTACATTTAAAAAAATTTTTAAAAACTTTTGCTGTTGTGTAAAATACTGCATTGGCAGAAATGTTTCCTTAAAATCTTTGTCAGAAATCTATAGTTATATTATTCTTATATATTTATATCTTACATTAAAAAAATGTATTAAAATGTATCTGTGGTCTTATGAACTTAACATTTAAAGAAATAAAATTCACTCAGACTTATTGCTCATTTAGAAATTGATTACTCAAATTTACTCAAAATTATTGTTCATTTTCACTAAATAGTTTGACCATAGATTGGCCATTGAGCAATTTCTTTGTAAAATATGTCCAGTATCATCAAGCTCATTTATGCCTAAGTTATACAAAAGTTTTTAGTAGGTAATTTTAAGAACTCAAATTCATTTTATGAGGGAAGTCGGAAATCGTCTTGCATGGCGACCTTGAGTATTGTAGTATTTCAGGAAACAAATGCAGTGTCACTTTGAAAGGAAACAAACGCTTACAACTTTGGGGAATCTTACTTCCATTTCTTCGTTGTGGATTACAAAATGTGTAAAAATAACGTGTCATCTTCTAAAATCAACTTTTGAATTTTCCCTAACTTATTTACGTGCCAGTGTTAAGGTGTTTTGTGGGGAAAATACTCTGTGGAGAATAATTACATGAATTTACGTCGATGATTAAAGATGGCATTAATTTGCCGGAAGCAGGAACTTTTCAGTTTAATAAATAAATGTTTTTATTGAACGGAAATAATTTTTATATCCTTAACCGTTATGGCTTAAAATCTACACTCATGTCCATAAATTAAGAATAATGCAAAATCAGGCAAAGGAAGAGTTGGAAGCAAAACAAAATTGACTTATTTGTAACACTTATTTATTAAACAAAAGGTAAAGAGCAAAACAAAGATGCTATATGTTTGATATTATTAAAAAAATTAGCGATTTTTTCTCCCTGGAGCAAATTACAAAAAAAAACCTATTTACAAAAAACCAATATTACATGGTTGGTATGATTGTTAATACATTGTATGTCTCCCAGACGATGCAATACAGTCCGTACAACGCCTAGACATGCTGAGTATCAAATTATCGATCTGATCTTGGCGGATATTACACCACTCAAAAAGCAATGCTCTCCGTAGTTCCGGTAGACATGTAGGAGGAAGTTGACGGGCTGCAACTCGTCGGCCAAGCATGTCCCACACGTGCTCAACTGGATTCAAGTCCGGTGAGAATGCTGGCCAGTCCATACTGGTGATATCCTCCGATTGAACGCATTTGCATCCATAAACATTTGTCATCCATAAACACAAATTGTGCGCCCATGGCGCCCCGAAACAAACGTACATGTTGTTCCAGAATGACGTCCCGATAGATTTGGCTTGTCATGGTTCCAATTTGAACATGCAGGTCAGTTCTGGAACCCAGAATAATTCCATCCCAAACGAGCACTCCTGCACCACCGTAACGGTGTCGTTCAATGATGTTTTCTTGGTGGTAACGGGTACCTGGAGCTCTCCATATGAAAGTCCGGCGAGAATCAGACTGCAAGCTAAATCTGGACTCGTCGGAAAACATCACACAAGCCCACTGTTGCGGTGTCCACAATGCATGTTCTACTCTAACCGCAGGCGAAAGTAAATTGCAGTAAGTGAAACGCATCTGAGAGGTCTACAAGCATATATACCAATCTGTCCTAAGTGTCTGTACACGGTCTGCTTTGAAATTGTCGTACCAGTGGCTGAAGAGAGTTGAGGAGACAGGTCTGAGGCTCTGCCTCGCATTTTTCTTTTGGCAGTAACTGCCAAATACCGGTCCTGATTCGGCGTTGTAACTCTGGGGCTACATGTGCTGTAACGTCTACTCACATTACCATCATCTTGAAGTCGCTGCCAAAGCCTGGAGACGACACTCTGGGCAATTCCAAGTTCGTCTTATACTTCCAGTTGGGTACGCCCAAATTCCAGACGGCCTATAATTCTACCACGAAAAAAATCATCCACATGCGTCCTTTGTGTCATAACTATTCGGTTATTGCACTGAAATGCTTATAAAGCGTCTGCGAACAATTTTACTTCTTTGCCTGTATTCCTTATATATCACTCTCTTAGTCTCTCGTCATTGTGACGTACCATCGGTGTCATCTGGTAACTTCCTGAAATTTGCATATGATTCTTGAAGATGTGTGTAGTGATTTTACAGGTGATATATTTATTTTAGAGTTCGATTTCCGCGTGACTCCGAGTTATCCTTAATTTATGGACATGAGTGTATTTATTACCTAATTTTTGAAGGACACCGTGTTTCTTACGTTAAAAACTGACGTACATAGTCATGTATGTATAACACTGCCTCAAAATGAGTTACGATAATACTATCTCAAAATATCTGAACGAACATCATTTAAGGGTAACACTGTCTCAAATTATCTAAAAGAAACATGTAGGACGATAATGGGTCCGGTTATACCAATTTTATCATATCCATTATCTCTTAAAGTCATGGATAAGTATCAAAAATTAACATAATAAGGGTAACACTGTATTCATTAGCTATAACACTGTATCATATTCATTAGCTATAACACTGTATCATATTCATTAGCTGTAACATCGTAACCATTAGTTGTAACACTGTATCATATTTATTAACTCTTAAAATCATAGATGAGTATAAAAAATGAACATAATAAGAATAAGTCATTAGGTATTTTGGAAGCAGAAAAGGGGAAAATGAGCAACGCCCTCGCCAGGAATCGAACCTCGGACCTCTGGAATACGCGCCCAGCGTGCAAATTATCGCACCACAAAGGCATGCTAAGAAGGCGGGAGAAATACCTTATATATCCCCCGTTTAAAAGGCGACTAGGCTTTTTAGGGAAACCAATCGCCAAATCCTGGATGTGGAGAATCATCATTCACCACCCTTTTAGTTCGGGCGCCACTGTAGAGTCATTAGGTATTTTTGAAACAGGAAAGGGAAAAATGAGCAACGCCCTCGTCGGGAATCGAACACCGAACCTCTGGAATACGCGCCTAGCGTGCAGACCACCACACCACGAAAACGTGCTAAGAAGGTTGGAGAAATACCTTATAACTTTATTAAAATATCTAAACGAACATCATTTAACTGCCTCAAAATATCTAAATGAACATCTTTACTGTCTCAAATACACCTAAACCGGGAGTTCTCAACCATGAGGGAAATTGCGCTTTTTTTGGGGGGGGGGGGTGGGAGATTTCATAGTTTCAGAGGAAAGTGTGGTCAACATTTTATTTACCTGTTAAGTATTTAATTTTAATTTATGAATTTAAAAAAAAACTACTTTTATTCGAGTTTTGGTATTTATTAAAATTTTCTATATTTTTTCTTGTTTAATTCATAAAATGCATCAAAAATAACACTAGTTGAATTGAATGTATGTGTATTTTTCGAGTTTTGGAAATTATCGTCTTGCAATGATGAAAGGAGTGTATGGGAAAAAAAAAGGATTGAGAATCAGTCATCTAAGCGGAATCATTTAAAGATAACACTGTCTCAACTATCTAAAAGAAACACAGATACTAGGACGATATGGTAAAACGGTAGACTTTTGTTGTCAGAAGGTATAAAAGAAAGCTTGCATTTATATCTAGTAGTTTTTTTTTCGGGGGGGGGGGCGGGACCTGTCTGTAGTGTTTACGTGCATTTTTTCTCAGCAGCAATTGTATATATGAATTTTATGCAAATAATATTTATATTTCAATGGTTTTTAAATTACGTTTGTTCAGCATATTCAAGATGATCTCTTAAAATAATTGATCCGTATCAACACGAACACTGACTTTATCACTTGTTCGACAGATTAGAGAGAAGAGTACGACTGGAGAACGAAAATGGTCAAAATAAGTGTTATTTATTCTGCAATGCGGGTTTACTTAATCTGCAATTGTACTTTTTCATTGAAAAATGCAAGTAATTTACTTGCGAATATATATGTATCAGTTGTGAATGCAAACAAAAGCTACCTAATATATTTTATCAAATTTTTCATATTTACAAAAACATTAAGAAATCGGTAATCAAAATAACGGTTAAGTTTCAGCAGCTCTTTTAGCTGCATTTTTGTTCATATTCCACTGTAAAATATATATTCCGCTTTTAAATGTTTTGCTCCGTTTGTTTGGTTAAACTAGTTCATAAGGCATTGTAACTCTAGAATGTATTGGAAGTGATGCCTACGTGAAGGACATTTCAAGAGAACTGGCTTGTACCCATATTATATATGAAGAAACCAGAAAATGTCTATTCCCATGCAGCCGGGATCCGAATCCGAGTCGATTTACCAGACTTTCAATCAGTTTACTGCTTGACTATCGATGTAATATTTGTAATGTTGTGCTAAAAATGCAAGAGTTTAAGTAGATGTCAACAGTAATGATTAGATTTTATAAAGTATATTCTGTTTGTATTGTTCGTGTAGTGATGTAAATAAACTCGGCATGAAAATGAAAATAACCAGAAAAAGGAATCATCGAAAACCAAAAAAATGTCTATATTCAGAAACAAACGTAATTTAAAAACCATTGAAATATAAATATTATTTGCATAAAATTCATATATACAATTGCTGCTGAGAAAAAATGCACGTAAACACTACAGACAGGTCCCGTCCCCCCCCCCCCCAAGAAAAACTACTAGATATAAATGCAAGCTTTCTTTTATATCTTCTGACAACAAAAGTCTACCGTTTTACTTCTGGCCACTCCAACTCTATAGGCCTGCAACCTTTATTGCATTATGATGAAGATCATCTCATCAATAGTACAATTATATTTCCTGTAACATGAAAACAAAAGTTATCCAATAATGCAGCATTGCTCTCCTCAAAATCCTTAAATGTATATGGCCTTAGCAGTTCATCTAAAATTCTTCAGATCTAAAATTGTTCAAGAATGTGCTAATAATATCGTGTCTGTGATTCCTTTCTCAAGATTGCAATTTAAGGTATTCGAATAATATCACGGTAATCGCTTTAAATCCCAAATTCTGTTGGCAAATTTGATTACTTGAATCTCGGTATCTCGGTAGCGATGAAACTACTGTAATTCAAATATTATGTCAGGGAAGAGATCCCTCGTGGCTTTGTCTTAATTAAATAATCTAATTCAATGTAAACTTTATGCAAATTGGTAATCAGAATTTTAATAATACCTCGCTTAGATTGTCAAATAAAATTCTACAACAGTGTCTTCTTAGCCTTGATTATTAAATTCCAGTTTTCAGGAACTTCGTACAATCAATCATAACCTCCGAAATGCCACAAACATCTGTCTGGTATTGTAATTAGAGTTCTGAGCACATTATTATACATAGATAAGCTATCAGTAATGCCAAGATCAACAGAGTATGAAAGGAATGTACTGTATTATACAAAATCATATAGTGAATATGATAGCACTATAAGTTCTCATAGCATCCTGTCATCTGAAACATTTTCTAATATCACAAAACAGCAGAAGGATAACAGTCAGTTACCCTTAATTCTAATGATCTTACCTAGAATGCCTGCATTCCCAGCTAATGATAGCTACCTTAGATTCCTCTCTTTTCTCCCTTAAATGAATACTTACGGAAAAGTAACCACTTATGAACATACTAAAGAGCAATAAACATATACGTGATACTACACCGCTTCTTGTATTCGAGTAGCTGCAAGTCCAGAGAGAGAAGGGGTCAGTCACTTCTTTTTCAAGCGGCCCCAGGGATTATAGTCTTTTATCTTTCTTAGATAATGTGCCCTCATTTGGCTTAGACATGCGCATTGCACGTGTAGTCACGTAAGCCAGATATTCAGCGGGAAATGGGGTCATCTAGTAGTTATTATTGTCATAGTCTTAAGTTGTAAGCATCATTAGCAGGACTTAAGCCGTAGTCAATCAAGGAAACTAAAGCTGCATATGCGAGAATGTACAGCTAACTCAGCGAGACTATCAGTATTTCCCGTTTTCTTGACCATGACTGGTCAGTTCCCCTACCAGTTTGGCATGAAGTTAAACAGTCAGAACAGTGAGACAAAATTTTTATAATAGTGTTTGTTAAGTTACAAGGTGTGATTACCTAGCAACGAAATTTGTCTTATGCCTCGCAAAGCTATCGCATGGATGTTCCATTAATTGCAAATAAAAGGATTAAAACAGTAATAATAAACAGAGTTTACATAAATTTAGGATAACTTTTTAACAATTCCAGTAAACTTGCCAAGCATTAATAACTATGGCATATTAATTACAGGGCATTAATAACTATAGTAAAATAACCTTTTCTTACTGACAGAATTTTCTATGCAATTAATCGTTTCCTTTGATCCAGTGAATATTTGCTGCCATGGCTTAGAAAGATGAGAAAAGAAAACTTAGCACTTTTCTCCTGATCTTGAGACAAAGCAGAATCATGTGCTTAGATAATTCTTTTGATAGAAAGTTTCTCTGCGACCTGCGATGTTTGAAGGTCTTCTGCCAACCTATGATCGTAGAAGATTCACCATTGCCACAGGAGTTTCGCTTTCAAAAATTTCGAACAAAGAACATTTGGTGATCCCCCCTCTTTTTGGGGAGGGATTGGAAAGAAATAACTCGTAAGGAATGTATTTTTCTGTGCCATAGCCGCAGAAATTTCGAGCAAAGACTATTAATTAAGATTACGATCTTTTTCGATTGGAACATTCGGGCCCACCAGTGGCCGAGCGGTAAAGTCGCTGAACACTGGTAGTTCGGTCCAAGGTTCGAATCCCGCGAACGGGCTAGCTGCATGGGCGTTTTCGTGGTTTTCCTCATGTGTAACGTGTATACGAGCCAGTTTCCCTTAGAAAGTCCTCCACGAAGGCATACCTCCTCTTAGGCAGATAGCCCTTGAGGCTTTGCCATAATCACACACACACACACACACACACGATTGGGACATTCACCGAAGATTCGATTGGATTTTGATCAGTAAACATCACATTTTACGAAGTCGAAATGGACTGACAGGAGAATTCAGTCCTTTTGGCCTTAAAAAGCTCAATCGAATGACTGGCTTCTGCTGCAGGGCAATTTACTGTCCTGTAATTACAATTTTGATTTGGAAATAAGTCGCTGAAATCGCTAAACTGTACCCAATGAGTAACTTTTATTTTTTTGTCTTAAAAAAATTCGTCAAATTGTGCCAATGTAGTTCCGCTAAAGCTTAAGTTGTAAGGATTATGTTAATTTTATTAACAGTTAAATTTTGAGTTCAAGTTCCTTTCCTATCGATTCTTAACTTCAACTTACCACTTCCGGCCACAAAGTAGTTTTAGAATCACGTCTGCATGCTATTGAGGAAGAGCGGTATTTAACCGCGAAGTTCTTCGGCCTTAGGGAAAGAGATAATAGGTATTCTGTCTGCACGCGTTCTCCTTTTTAAGCTACTCTCTTGTAAGCTATTATCACACTCGGTCGTACTTTAGGCCCTTGATAGCTTCGCAGTCTATTAACGTTAAGGCTCCAACTCAGCGGTTAGAATTCTGATAGCTTCGGCTATACCTCTTTAGCTTAGATTAGTTTAGGTTAATTCTTAGTATCTTAAGTTCAAGCCGAAGTGTCGGCTAAACTTTAGTTGGAATAATAAAGGGTTAGTTTACCCTTCTATCTTGTTGTTTCCTGCCACACGAACTCAAGCGATTATTCGCTTATCAGTTCTTAAGATTCTTCCCTTCCAACAGTAACTTAGAATTAGAAAGTGACGAACTCTACAAAGTACCCGGAACATCCATATCGGTATTTTTAACAAAATCACAAAAATAGTGCTCCTACTATAGAACTGCAACAATAGTATTCCTACTACAGAACAACAAATGTAGTTCTCCTACCATGGCTTATGTCAATTTCTAGGTACCGTATTGTGTATTCTGCCCTATAGAAAACGTCAGTACTCGTACAATAAATTCAGTACTCCAACAACATGAGTGTGACAGTACGAAATGGCAGGAAACTGTTGAGTATTACAATGATAGTAAAATCTAGAAAATATTTGCAAAAGTTCATTTAAATAAATGATATTAGAGTGACCAAATTGTAATTCATTTCTTTTATTTCTTCCCTACTTAGAGTAACGGATCTAGTGGATAAATTTGCTTCAGAAGTGAAATTGGAAAGAGGCGAAAGCCTTACCTTAGAGACAGAAAATCTCGTCGTAAAAGCAGTTTCATGGGACCCAGAAACCAGCGACCTTGTAGACGACGACTTAACATTTTCCGTCCACTACCAGGCACGTCAGAGGCGAGAATACTCGGGAAAAGGACGTTACAGACCTCTTCCCCCGTCCCAGACCTTCTGGGATGAAATGCAGGACCAAAGCACGACGTCGTTCTATAACGTGAGTTTGTACTCCTATTGCTAAATCGTTCAGGTTTTTGAGGTAACAAGAAAAAGGTCTCAAATTAATATGAAATACTCGCATGGTGAAGCACTTCATTATATATACACAAATGGACTAATGAGTAATTATGAAATAATTAAACAAGATTTTTGTTTTATCGCGAGAAATTGGAGTAAAGTAGTAGACTATGCTATGGCAAACTGCAAGATAGGAAATGCAGTTTCCAGTTTCTAGCACAGTTTTAACTATAGTCATTCTTTACTAATTTTAGTATAGTTTTAACTATAATCATTCTTTACTTGGTAGTTAATTCATAATTTTTGTTTAGAGAAAAATAAAGAATTTGTTTTAAAATAATCAATTTTTCATTACTTTATAATTTTTTGTTTCCAAAATAATTAATCCATTTAAAAATTATGAACTTAATTTGGACTTCTTTATTGTTTATTAATTCATAAGTTTTGTTTCGGAAAAAATTACTTATTTATTTAAAAATAATTTACTAAATTTGAATTTTTGTTATTTATTTATTCGCAATTTTTGTTTTTGAAAAAAAAATTATTTTGTCCTAAGAGACTTTACATTTTAAAAGTTATTTGAAAAAAATTATGATAGTACTATTTTTTAACACGGAAATGCTTATATATATATATATATTTCGAAGATACTGATCGAGATTTCTTCTTCATTAATAAAGTAAAAATATTTTTTTCCTTTCATTAATTTTAAGGATTTATTTGAAAGACATGTATATGAATTTAGTGTCAGCAGAGAAATTAAAGATCAATATCAAATATGATTTAAAAAATATTTAGTATCTAATTTTTATGTTTATTAGATGCATTTATTATCCATCAACTTTCTGAAACTGTACCGTTAGGAGCTATCCCTTTGCTTTACGATGGTTAGTTGTAATTCAGAAAATACTGTTTCTTTAATTTTTAATTATTGCTTAATAAATATATTATTACCGTGCTTTATGGCATAAAATAAACTGAAACTGTACTTAGGATTTTATCATAAAATGCTGAGTGTAATCTATATTTCTTAAAATTACCCTTCCAGAGAATTAATTTGATAACTAATTAATAACTTCGCGAATTTGTTTAAGGTTAGTCACCATTTAATATTCTCTTTTGTTGATGATAAAATTCATTGATTATTTCATAATTGAATAAATTTATAATAAATAATGTCTGTAGTAATTCTAATCGAAAATATTTATTATATTTTAGAAACGGTCGATTTTTCATTCACAAATTAATTTTGGATCATTACAAAAATTATAGTGTATATTGCTCATTAGAGTAGACGTTGCTTAACGTGATCGCGGTTAATGTTATTATTCGGATATTGTTGTCGAATTGCACGTTCCGTACTTTTGTTTACGAAAACATCGAAAAGACATCGCTTATTGTGATCTGTAATTTGGTTAATATGATCAAAATACTGCAGTATAATTTTTAACTGGTAAAGTCGCCAAATAAGGTCAAAATGAATTATAAAAATTTATAAGTGACAGAGAAATGTCGCCAAGTAAGGGATTAATTCGTCAAATAACTGTGTGTCGATTTCAGTCAACTACAAAAACGAGCTAAAAGTATATGCGATTTTACTACGCAACCGCTGGTGGTCACAATTTTAAACTTTACATTAACGTGCTCCTTTCAAATGCGGGACGTTCTCCGAGTTTTAAAATTAGGGATACAGCATCGGTCGAATAATTTTCAGAAATGTTAGGAACAGTTGATAAAATCATTTCTGCATTAAAGACATCATTAATTGTTCATTGTGAACAAATGTTTTGAATATGAATGAACAAACATCTGAAATGAACTTTATGAAAAAACTTTTTGCACTTTCTTAGTTAATATGTTGTGAAAATGCGCGTTTATATGTTTCTAGTGATATTTATGTAAACTTAGTTAAATTCCATTGCCATTTTGAAGGGCAATGTTTTTCATCGTTTAATGTTATCATTCGGTTAATATTATCACAAAAGTCATGGACAAGCGTGATCACATTAAGTGGGGCCTTCTGTGTAATTCTTAATCAAAAGTGTGTGTTTTCAGCCTTATATTATACTTTACTCTGATATCCGAAGGACGACAAATTTTTGTACTAACAAATCAAATGCTTCTTTGTTATTACTAAAATAAAAATGTCACATATGTCCCAAAGATTTTACAAATCAGTCAAATCAAGCTTTTAAGCCTTAAGTTCTAATTATTTAATAAGACTGCAAAATTTTTGCTTCCAAGTAATAATAAATTAATCACTTAATATAAGAAGACTAATATTAAATCGCTGTAATCATGGATGCAGATGTTAGGTCTATTTTCATCATGAATTTGTTATGGTTGTCAAAATTCGTTTTAACCTATAATATGCACTTGTAAATTACTGTATAATTTTAATACTTGAAATGACTGATTATAATGTAATAAACCTTATTAAATTAGGGTTTTGTTACTAAAAATAAGAAAACGCACATCGCAATTACCTAATAATTAGAAGCTTATAAAAATCTGTACGCTTTCTTGTTGAATAAGTTTTTTCTTAAAAAAGGATTACAGATAATATTTAAAAAGTATTATATCAATGCCAGATTACACTATTATTACTACTATTAATATGTTAATTATTGTGTGTATAGCTATAAATATTATATTCCTGGTATACTCATTTAAATCCTATCTATCAACGATTATATTTTGTATGTTGTTAATTTTGCAATAATATATTTATACTTACCTAAACCTTGAACTATTTTATGCAGTTATAGTTAACATGAATTAGGAGATAGCTAATAATTTAATAATAGCAAGTTACTATTTTTGATAGACTGTGAAACAGGAAGAATGTCCAATAATAGGGGTGTGTTCAATAATTCATAAAATTATAGTAATAGTTAGAAAATAAGTGTACTTGAATTCGCCGTTTTTGGAACTTTCTTATGCAGCTAAGCATCTAGGGCAAAATAGTATATGTAAAGTTCAAATTCAAAGTTAGAAAAGGGGCAAAATGCATGACTAATTACTGTAATTATTTTTCACTTGTTTTCTTGTAAATAATAATTCTAATGATCTTGAACTATGTGATACATTATAAGTGCTATAAATGTTCTTACTTACGATAATGAGAACATTTATAATTCAAGATCATTCGATATTAATTTGAATTCTTTTCTGCATAGGATGCGGAGTTAACTATTCCTATCGAAGCACTGCTGATGGCACAGAATCAAACGGTACAAGAACTGAGAATTAAATTTGTCGCTTACAAAAATGACAAGTTTTTTAGAGAAAAGCCTACCGCCAGATGGCGTCAGTGCGAAGGAGGCGATGGTTATCGAAGCAGGTACAATTGTTTGCAAACGGAGACGACGGGATTTCCCGGTAATTTCAATTTTTAAGAAGTTTCTGTCTCACATTATAATTATTTTTGTAATAGTTAGTGTATATATTTTATTTTTGTTTGTTCAAGCTGAACAGTTAAACGTAATCGTTTATTTTTAATTTATTTAAAATTTTATTTGTAATAGTTTAATTTAAGTATAATTTTATTTTATCTGATCATTTATTTTATTTAAAATATATTTATTTCATAATTAACTCATTTTTATATCGAGTTTTATTAGGTTTTTTTGGGGGGGCGTTTGTTCTTTGTAAAATTTTATGATAATAGTCTGCGACCGATAATCTTCAATATTCGAAATTTATTAAATGGCTTAAAAAAATTCATATAAGTTCAATCACTCATCAAACAAAAGTTAATTAAAGAACTGCTTCTTTTTAAAATGAAGAAATACACTTAAATTTACAATATTTTTTTTTTTAATTTTTTGCCTCACTACCTCATTTTGGAGTTTTATTTTGGCCATCGCACCCCAACTCTTGCAACAGTCGCATATTAGACATTTTCTGAATGTATCTATGAGCATTTACTTAAAATAAAGAATCTTACGCATAAATTGCATCAAATTACAAATTAAAACTAATTACACGTAATACAGAAACAGAATGTTAGCAATTAAGGCCTGTCTGCAGAGGCGTTGTTATTGTTTAATTCAACTACATTAAAAATAAACCCTAAATCTATTATTTTAAAGGGAAAAATATAAAAATATTTAAGTAAAACAACACACAATAATATGTACGCGAAAACACAGTATTATATTTAAACATTTATACAAATTTTCAGAAAATATGAACTTATGTATAAATACGTAGATACACTGCATGAACTAGTTTTTGTCAGGAAGATGATAATATGCTGATTTCTCTTCAATAATAGTTGAATAGAACTATTCTACAATATAAATAAAATAATATATGTTTTATTAAAATATTTTAACCGACATAAATTGTAACAAAGTTTGTTAATTTATTATTTAGGACGCCGCGTCCTCCAAGCTAGTATATCCAACGCAACAGTTACTAACCTATCCGATCCTGTGGTATATGTACTACCTTCGCCTTTGAATGTTCGAGTGTTCTGCGCTTATTGGAAGGAACACGGTAAGATAAATTTAAATTATTATTTTATGTTTATTCTACGTTTTCAATATTTGCATAGTTTAAGTTCAAAGTATTTTTTAAGCTGAAGGAAATATCGGATATCAAAAGTTAGCGTTCATTTCATATCCTTTGTATTTTTCTATGCTATTCCTTTTAATGGAGAAATGCGTATTTGTTAGACTGATATTCTAATTTTGTAATTGCAGAACGAATATGGTCAACGGATGGACTGATCACTAATCAAAGTGGGAATTCCACAGCTTGCTTTTCGTCTCATTTGACATCTTTCTCATTATTACTCGTACGTATTTTAATATTTTATGAATTCTTTTTAATGAAGAAAAGATATATATATATATGTAACATAACAAAATACGATGGCTGCTTTAAGAATAATTGGCAACCTCAAAATTAACTATTCTAGATTTGGTGCTTTTCCCTAAATCCATCTGTTCTCCTAAATTCGAGATCTTTCCATGTTATATAACACAGCTTGAAAAAGGTAACTATAACTAAAATTAACCAATCGTAGCTTGTCTTTACAGTTGCACCTACTTCGGTGTAAATACTCTTGGCACAACTACGTCATTCCTTTCCCTAGCTTCCACCCTGCAAGGAACAATGCGCCGCTTATGCTGTTCCGTCTAAAATGCTTACGTTGTACTTTTAAAACCAATGTAGATAGAACTTATTGTATTCAATTATAATTGCATAAATGTCTGCCAAACTAATTGGATATGTGTGAAAATAAAGATTGGTGATTTGTAAAACCCTACACTCGCTTACTTAGTACTTGAAGCAAGAAAACATATTTTCATCGTTAGCACATTTTGATTGAAATAAACGTTTTCTGAAAATAATGTACAAGAAATATATCTCTTATATTAGTTATTTTAATAAACAAAGAACAAATTAAAATGAAACCTTTCAGTATTTTTGAGACAAGATTTTGGCAACAAGAACAGAACATTTAATGTAAAAGTAGCTTTTAGGCAATGTTAGCACGTATATATTTCTGAAGAAAACTTTTTGACACCATATGTTTTATAACGGCAAACATACTATGTGGTAGTGTTTAATTCAAATTTATATTTCTCCCCGGAGGGAAACTGAAGAGAAGAAATGAAAACTTCTAAAATAGAAATAGATTTTCTTAAAGTATCTCTTTTAGTCTTAGTTATGCAAGTTTGATTAACTTCAAAACTATCATTCTGTTTAGTACTATAATATATGATTTTGAAAAATTAATAATTTAGTCTCTAAAATTACTTAACTTGTTCTATATCTTATAAATTATTTAACAGATATTATTATAAGCATCTTATAAATTATTTAACATGTCTATTTAATGTATTATTTCATTTTTAAATTCACCTTATAAAATTTTATCTTTCAGGATCCAACGCCAAATGAGGGAATTTCACAAGACCATCTTTTCACACTCTCAGTAATATCTTATATTGGTTGTGGCCTCTCAATGCTTGGACTTGTTCTGACTATCTTAACTTATTCTATGTTTAGGTATTGCTGTATTTCTCTATTTATTATATGCATTCTTATCAAATACAATAAATTAAACAAGAGCTCAAAGCCAAGGGTAAATTAGTTTAGTTTCTAGCAGTGCTGCCCTCTATTGAAAAGAATCAAAACTACAGTTTCATATTATTACCTATAGATGGCAGCACTTCACTGAAACTACTTCTTTAACACGATATGAATTGTTTTTTAATGTAATTTTGCAAAACCGTTCATAAAATTGTGTCAGTATTTGTCAAATAACCCACTAAATAATTCCAATACATTTCCTTAGATATGTGATAACTTATATGAAATCTTATGATCAGGAAAAAAATTAATAATTCTTAAACATATCACTATGCAATTTTATACTTTCGTAAACTGTTTTTTATCGCTTTAAAAACAATTACTATATAGTTAGTAATATATTTGTACGCAATATTTTTATTCTAATAATTTTAATACAAGAAATATGGATAGAAAAAGCGTGACTATTAATTAATACGTATGATTTTAATTTTAATCTTGGAAGACACGGTGACTGCAGGGGTGTTTTCATGGTTTTTCGCTATATTTATATTTAACGTGAATATGAGCTAGTTTCTTCCAGAAAGCACTCCGCGAAGACATACGCTTTCTATGGAAGACTGCCCTCGCATGCTTTTTTCTATCGATGAAATGAACCAACTATCTTAATTTTCATATATATAGACTTATTATTAAAAATTAATTATCAAATATTCCTGTTAAGGTAAACTGATGGATACTGTTCTAACAACAAAAGACAACTTAATATAGAATTTTTGCTTTTACTTTCACCGGTTAAAATTATTTTTAAAAATATATGCACACCAACATTATTATATAATGATTTTTGTGGCCTTTTATCAGGTTACTTTGCCCTGAATCTGAAAAAACATTCATCTCTAAAATTTTGAATTTATATCGTCAAGTGAGTTTCCTATAGGGATAGTAAAATCTAAATAAAATTTATCTATTGTGTGCCATTAAAAAATTTGATTTGAAAATAGAATAATATTTCTTTTTTGAAATCAGAATGCTCATAGTGTTAAATAGGGCCGCTAAATTCTACTATAAGTGTAACCATAAACAATACATTAACAAGGTAATTCAAGCATTTACATGAAAAAATTATTAAATTAAAATTTAATAATTTAAAATTATGTACTCTTTGTGATCTTTAAAGACACATTTCTCATAAATAGCACTAACTGCAAAATAATAAATAAAAAATCAAAGTTATGACAACTATGATGACTGTACAAATTTTATTTTATTCAATATGAGCTTTATATAATTATTTTACTGCTAATTTTAATGTAAAAATAGCATCTCTATATGTCATATTAATCAATTATAACGATAAAATTTCAGATAAAACGGATATGTCAAAAATTGTGTATAAATCGTTTTATCAAAGGGCACATCAAAACTGTTACTGAATAACATGTAAAATATTGAGTTGCAGCTGAGTTTTCACATAATGTTAAACTTAAAGTAACTCAAATTATCTACTTTTTTGAAACCTCGTTTTAGAATTAACGTATCAAAAACGTTTCTAGTAAATCTTCTCACTGTAATCACCTTATCTTAATCCATTGCCTCTGGAAATGATTAGCATTTTTAATAATATTATTACATAATGGCAATGAGTATCACCCATATTCATATTCTAAGAAAAACCAGTAAGCCGACATTTTCCTAACTAATCGAATGAAGCTTTAAATTAAAATGACCAACCAACGTACATGTGTTCTTCCAACTTTCAATCCTTGTTTTCACTCACTACTGATCTGTCTTGAATTTTTATTTTTGATGTGTTAATATTAATATCAACTCGTCGAGTGCACGTGTTAAAGGGAACTAAAATTTTTGACTGCTATATGATCTCTTTCAAACTGTTTTCAATTTCTCTCATTTTTGAAATTATTACTTGTAAACGTAAACATTGAACATCTGAGTGCATCTGTAACGGTTTAAAATCGAAATGTCAATTTATTTTCATCTTCTTACGGACATATGCATATTTTTAAACACAATATTTTATATCTTTGTCATATTTTTTGTATTCTTAATTATTATTGTCTTATTGTCCAGGTTACAATAATTTTTTAGTAGTTCAAAATAGTAACAAACACACGCACACACAATACTCAAAACATTTAAAATAAAATGCATTTTTTTAAATTCCTTTTTAGAATATTTCTTAATAAAAAAGTAGGTAATTATTATTTTTAGAATACCGCCAGCTGCAGCTACAGGTCCACGCCACATAATTGTTTTCTTTTCGCCTTTTTTTTTTTTTTTTTTTTTTTTTTTTTTTTTTCTGTTCACCTTTCGGAATTATACTACAAGACAGCGGTCGCCAACCGGTGGTACGTGAAAACGTTTTGATGATCCTCAGAAAAATTGGGACATTGTTTATATTTTTATGAAGATTCAGTTTACAAAACTGACAAGTAACAAAACCTATTATAAAATATGGATTATACGTTTTTTTAAATTTTAGTTACTACTTTTAGCGAAATTCCTTCTGAATTGGGCGACGTTTTAGCTACTTTTGCAGGTGTGTCTAGCGACATTTGAAAGTGAGAGTTGGCGTTCATGAATATGCTGCTGTTATCAATAATAGCGCGAACTGGAATTCTCTTTCCTTTTGAATTACAAACATATGCTATTGTAGTCGTTAATAAGACAGTTTAGGCAACTTGATTTTTATCAGAATCATCTGCATTCTTGTTTATAATTGCATCACTGGAAGTTTCCGTTTTTGTTTTGTCCAACTGTTGATCGATGGCGCCATTGCTGAGTAAGCGATGATTATTATGTTTACAATAATTAAAAATTGGTGGCATAACACTTTCAGTTTAATGATATTGTTTTGCGTTAGCCGGTTTGTTCTTGCTTTTCGTTAAATTCCTTTTCAGTGATATGGAAATTTGAAGCTTTTTGTACAAGAAAGTACGTAAATGTGAAAGTACGAAATTGTGAAGCTTTCTGTACAAGAAAGATTTTGTACTTTTCATATAATTTTTCAATTTGAACAAAATATGCGTATAAGTGAGATATTTATAGTGTTCTAATTGTTACTCATAATCAGGGGCGTAGCCTGAATTTCCATAAAGGCATGCTGCTGAACACCAAATGTGCACTCCACCGATCCATATCATTGTGACACTCGAAATGGCAGCTCATTAGTACACGAATGCGGCACGAGATGGCGCGCATTCATGCAGTACGTCATGTACTACGCAAGTCAAATTACGCTATGAACGCTGCCGCACCCTGTATAAACTTTGTGAATAAACATGCCAGGAGAGCAAAAAAATTAAGTAAAAATTTGAAACTTTTTCTTTTCAATTCCAAGCAGTAGCAATTTTTACGGATGAAAATATCCTGATAAAATTATTTGAACATTTTCATCAAGTTACATCCCAAATATAAATAACATAGCAATATAAAAAAGTATAGCTCTGTAAATGTGAATATTGCGTCCAAGGCACAGACATTCACTTTTTCGAACAGAAGATAACCAACTTCAGAGAGGCCGAGAATCATGTGGAACTGTGGCTTAGCGTCTTAGGAAAGTTTTCTTTAAATCTATATTTACTTCGATCATTTTAATTAGTTCGAGAGAAAACCCCAAAAGAAATACCTTTTATAAATGTGCTTAGACAATGCAAGTAAAATTAGCAGCATTGACCAAATTGGGTACCCTGTTTTTGCCAAAATTTTTCAATTCTGCGATAAGTAGATTCTGGTTTCTGAAATTTCCTATTTTGGTTCTTGTAATTCCCGAACACTGTTGACACTACCGGCTTGTTGTGCTCTAGGATTTGCCATTTGTGATGCTACACAGTTTGCACAGAATTCAACCAACGATGCCACGGTTGCAATTCTGCTACGGAGGCAATTTTGCTCTACAGGCCAATTTCAAAATATCGCCTGAGAACTTTCAGCACAGTCACAGTCTTTGGGCCTCGGCATAAGTTTATCTGTTTGTATGTAAAAACTTATTTTTAAAGCTAAAACAGTTCATTTACAATTTTACTAGGAATGCTTTATCAGCGATAATAATATATGCGTAAATAATTGTAGTAAGGCAAGTAAATTTCTGAGGATCTTAAGTTTTACTAACGTTTATTTTATTTTAAATCTTTACTATCACTTCTTATTTTCTACTTCCGGCCAGAATTAAAATCTTTAACTTATTTATGCAAATTTGTCTTGCGAACGCCAAGTACTTAATTTGTGGCTTTTTAGCAAGCAAGAGAAAGGAAGGAGCTATTAGAAGCAGGCCGCTTGCCAAAGTAGTTTTACCCGGTTGCTGGTTGCCTTCAAGGCCAGAGGTTTAATCCTCGTGATAATTTTAAACGTATCGTAGTGTTAGCAGTTCTCTGTACTACATACGGCTTTTTGCTAATATACGGCCAATCTTGGAGTAGGCACTTGTTTGATTAATCCAAAGTTAAGTTTAGTTAGAGTTTTTAGTTAATATTTTATATTCTTACGTTCAGACCACAAGTGGTTGGTCTCTGTATTCCGAAGTCCGGAAATCATTGTAAAGAGAGAAAAATAAAGGGTTTCGTATACCCTTCCTGTGTGTATTGTCTACTTCCCAAATTTATTGAACATAGTTTTAGTAAGCTCCCTGTTCCGAGTCAGGACATTTAATGTTCCCAAAGCAAGTAAGGAGGAACACAGAACCTGATAAATTGTGCAAAAGAAATTGTTTCATGGTTTACATGGCTACAAGCCGAAGACCAAACAAAGAAATTCTGAAAGAATTCAAATTTTAACGCAGCAAAAGGTTTGTTAATGTTTTTATGTTGCCGCCGAGCTCACAGTTTACCAATCTACTCTTGGGCCACTCCTACTAACACAATTTTTTATGTCTTTTAAACTTTATTTTTTTAACTTCATTTATTCGCATCAGCATCAAAATCACAGATATTTAAAAGCAGTAGTATATGTTTCAAAATCCCGATACAGTGTTAAGTGTTGCATTAACCTTTTTTCTAGCACCAAAGTCTTCGTCTCGAAACTCTCTTTTTGTCCGAATCAATTTTCGAATTGTTGCTACCAAATGTTAACGTGATATATATATTTTTTAAGAAATAATAATGAAGAATCTGTATGAATGCATTTTCCTGCCATTGTGGTAAAGCGACGACATTTAGAGCCATTCAATTTTTAATACACTTAGTCGTGCACTCGAACACGTGTTGCCTCTAAAATTACTATAATACTTTTATTTTCCAGGAGCCAGCGTGCTTCCATTCAGTTAAGCCTAACGTATTTAACTTTCAGATTTTATTTGGAATGCTATTAAGTAAAAAAAAAAAAAAAAACTAAGTGATTCCAAACCAATAAAGTTCTTAAGAACATATTTTTCTCCTTTTCGATATGATTGATTTAAATCAAAAATGTTTTAAATTGTATGAAATTACACTAGGCGCGGCCAGTTTTTCGTGAAATAATATAACTAATATAAAAAAATGCTTGGTAACCTCTCAAAAATTCTAAAGCTATTCTATTTTTAAATATTTTATGATTTTGCTGTTGAATTTTATGTGGCGTAAGTACAAGGAGCTTCATGTGAATAAAGTTTAATACATATATAAGTTTAGTAATAAAAGTTAAACATATAAGTAGTTAATAATAAAAAGACAAAAAGAGTTTTGTAAGTAAGAAAACTGGATACATATGATAAAGGGGGGAAAATGACTGACTGAAAGAAACAGAAAAAATGTGTGCAACCTTTAGCAGTGCACCGGGAATTCTAAACACATGCTACTATGAAAACTTTGTGATTTTGCTGCGGAAGTTTATGTGGCGTAAGTGCGAATAAAGAGATGATTAATAATAAAACTAAAAAGTCAAAAAAAAAGTCTTTAGCTGGAGTGAGTCTAAGAGCAGATTGGTAAATTCGATGATCAGCGAGAGCATAAAAAAACTTCTCGTGCAACAATTTAAATCGGAACTCCTTCAGATTTTTTTCTTTCTTTTTCTTTTCAGGCTTTTCTCAGTTTGTTATATTAATGTTCAAATTTTTGGTAAAATGAAATACGCAACTTTTTTGTAGTTTTATCATTAATTTGTTGTCTTTATTTAACATCACTTCCTTTGCATTACAAAAAATTCAATAGTGAAATCGTAAAATGTTTATAAAGAGAATATCTTTAAATTTGCCGATGGCGATTAAGCTTAGCTGTACATTTTTTATCTTCGTTACATTTTCTTTAAGAATAAAACATGATGATAGCATCTGGTGACAACATCCTTTTATTTGAAAATTGATATGGTCAAAAATTGCAAATCTACACTAGTCTAGAAAGTCTAGTAATTTAGGTTAAAATTCCACGCCGAACAAAGACAACAAAAATCAGCGTTATATTTCCAAATTCTCACACGACTAATTTCGATGGTTGAACCATCATACTCAGCTGCCAAAGTGCAAATGACAGATAGAAAAATTATGTAAAACTTCAGCTTCTCGTCAGGAAGCAAACCATAATTTCACATCAACTGCTTTTTCTGAAATAATTTTAAATATTTAAATAATAAAAAATAACATTAATTGCAAAATCAAATCTCCCTCGAGGCGGCCAGATAAACGAAGCTGCAAGTAATCAAGAAATCTAGACTAAATAAACAAAACCATCTATATAAAAATACCCCTAATCGGCAAATAAAGCTATTTGAAATATACCAAATTCAATTAATTATAATTTCATTGAATAAAATTCCCTTATTGTTATAAGTAATGTATCATTTCAAATTTCAGTTTGCAATTTCTATCTGATAGCTTTAAAAAACATTTGTTTGTTGCAAGATAGAGATGAGTTTTCCAAACAGACCGAGTTTTTATGACTGAGCATTACTTCGCAACGCATTCTTACGAGAACGCTGTTGAAGCGTTCAAAGAGACGTTCCTAAATGTTAATGAACGTAACACAAAAAAAAATTATTTTGCTAACGTCATTTCGAGAAACTGGAAGCGGTTGACTTGATAATCTGTCTACCGTATCTCCCTCTCCCCCTCCCAAAAGAAAACCTGATTAAAAACTTTTACGGGTGTAATTATCATGTGAATGTGTAAACAAATAAGCACATTTTCAGGAAAATAACAATTTTAACTTTTTCGTGAAGCATTTTACAGAGCAACTGAATGAATTTTATATTTTAATAACTGATAGTATATTGACACATGAAGAAATGATATTGCATTAAAAATAATTGAAAATGATTCCAAATATTAAAAAAAGCTTAAAATTTGCGACACTTATCTGAAGATTATGCTTTCCCTCTCTTAGTTATGTTTTCTCTAATTATCTTCTTTTTCAGTTGTGTTTTGTGCTTTTGATCTTCATATAATTATGTTGTTCATGAAGCTGATTTTTTCATAATTTTTTTTTATCTAGATGCCTGAATCGTGACCATCCAGGTCAAATTTTGATCCATCTGTGTATTTCGATGTTACTGATGAATGCTGTTTTCGTGATTGGATCTCAGAGAGGTCGTGCTCTAGGAGGAATCGATGTATGCGTTACGGTTGCAGTTCTCATCCACTATTTCCTGCTCTCCACCTTAACATGGATGTGTGTTGAGGCAATTAACATGTATCAGTTACTGATACATGTCTTCGCATCTTCTGAGTCCCATTTCATGCTGAAAAGAGCTATTTTAGCATGGGGTAAGTACATGTGAGCATGCAAGAGTAAGTACATGGAAACATGCATGTTCAGTTCACATATGAAATGTATGTTAGGCTCACGTGAGCATACAAGTGAGTGTATATGTAGTATCTGTAAAAATGTGTGAACTATTTTATAGTAAATGCATGTGAACATGTAAGTACATGTGAACATGCGTTAAGTACATGTGAACATGCGAGTGCAAGTACATTTGAATACGTAAATAAATATGAAGTACAGGCGAAACTGCATGGAGATGATCTGTTACATTAAAATTGGCACTTTCAGGGCACTAATCTCATTTACAATTATAACATATGTACGTACGATTGTAACGGGCGTATCAGTTCATAGAGGTGATTAGAACATTTAATCAAATCAGAAGTCCCGGCCTTCTTTCCTAGCACTCGTTACCTTGGTTACACGGCAAGCGAAAAAAGAAAAGAAATGATGCTGTTGAATAATAGACTGTATCAATTTAGCTATTTTTTTTAACCTTTTTGACTTATTTAATAGATTAAAAATTAATACAAGAGACTAAATAATTTTAAAAAGATATTAAATTAATTTAAATGAAAATATATGTCATGGGGATAAATCATGCATTGCAACTACATAACATACACAGCAGTGATACTCAAACCTTTTTGCCCCATTCATTCCTTTCACCATTGCTAGATCATTCCCTCCTCCTTTTCAAAACGTAAAAAAATAGGTATATAAATTTAAGGAGATTTAGATTATTTTTAATGTGTTTATAAATTAAACAACAAAAAATATAGAAAAGTTGGTAAATTCGAAAACTTGAATAAATATATTTTTTTAATTATTATTATTTATAAAGTATCTTTTTATTCCTAAATTAAAACTAAATACTTAACAGCTAAATAAAGTGCTTGCCGAATGCTTCCCTTATCAAATTGCACTCTGTTTGAGAACCTCTGCTATAAAGGCTATTTAAATAATATGTAATTTAAAACATTTTATGTTAAAAATATTATTTTGACTTCCTTTATTTTAATCCAAAATCCTAATTAATTAAAATTAACTTAGTTTTCTTTCATTAAAATAATAAAGTTACATTTAATATGAGAATGGGAAACTCTTAAACTTCTATTCACTGATTTATTGATCTTAAACTCAGATAATAATAAAAAAAAAAAATATGTACGAAATGAACATACATGATTAGTTTTACAGCTTCTAATTTATTACTTTACTTGCAGGTATTCCATTTATAATTGTCGGAGTAACTGTATTGATGGACTGGGAAGTATACTACAACCAAAATGAGTAGTAAGCAAAAGTGTTCTGTTTCAAAAATTTTGTATTCTGTTTGATATAAATGATGATTTTAATTAATTTTTTCCTTTTTTACCAGACTGCATATTTTAACTCAATTAAAACACAAAACAGTTTTGCATATAAAATTTATTTAATATATTGTTGTTCCTAATTTTAGTATATTCTTACTGATATTGCTGCCAAGCTTATAGTGAATAATCATACCCGGTTCTATGATTGAAGTATAGATGGCGCTACCATTCAATTTCACTTTTAAATTCATGATTGAGCGATAGATGGCAGCACTACATTATAAGTTTCGGAATTTAATTTGGTTATAGCTAGAGGTATTGCTTTAAACAGCTTTTTAAAAGTCTTTCTCAGTGTATTAAAAAAATTATATTTCTTGATAATACGCTTTATAATATTGTTCTTTTCAGTACAATTATAATATTGTTCTTTTCAGTACAATTGCAAAATTTTTATATTTTATTTTTATATTTTTTTAGCTGCATGTTATCAGCTGCGAACCCATATGTGTATTATATAAGCTTTCTTGGGCCATCGTGCCTCATCTTGTTTGTGAATCTGACCGTTTTTCTGATGGTTACGAGGGTCCTCTTCACCCCCCGAAACGTATCATCCAAGAAACCACCCCAGTGCAGCAAGAAAGAAAAATTTCTGGTTACTACAGCGCAAGTTCGGGGTGCCTTCACTGTCATGGTAAATATAGTAGATTATTCATAATAACTGAGTTTTCAGTTTTTTTACTGAAACATTTTAAAGTTAGAAACTGAAGCCTACTCACTTATTTATATTTTTAGTCATTTTCAGTCTGGATGCTGTCCACATATATTTAAGTTTTAAATTTAGCATTAAGTTAGGAGCACTTGCTTTTATTTTTATACTTGTGTATAAGTAAAGAGTGTAAGGCAAATTGTTACATTCTTTCAGCATCAGTATATTAATTTACAGCAAAAGAAGGGTATCATTTGGAAACATTGCAGAAACGCATCAGAAAAGGGACAGATTAGTAAACGAAACGACTTTTTGATTCATATTCTAACGTCTAAAAATAAAATTCTTGATTATTTTCTGTAACAAGATTGTTTGTACCATTAAATGGAACATCTAATGGAAGTGCTTTAAATCGCATTTTATACACTATGTTGTTCACAGAAGTCCTTACCCGGCTTCGTTTTCGCAGCTGTTGATTGGGGTATATATATATTTAGTTGGGGGGGGGGAAGAAGAAGATTTAAATAAAACAAAAATAAATGTTTTGGCATTTTTAAATTTAAATTAATTTTAAAATGTTACGACAGATAACTTTTAACCCTTCCGGTCTCTATATAGCTAGAAAGTTTTTGCGTTGAATATAAAAAAATAAGATAAAACAAAAAATGTGCAATTCCCATTCGACAAAAATTGACGAAATGTTTGATGCTGAAATTGGAAAGCATATTCAAGAGCTGAACACAAATTGAAAAGGGAAATGTATGCATTTGTAAGTAGCTAAAAATAAAATATTATTTAAAAAAACGGTTTCTGATGTTAAGAGAGAGATTATTGTGAAAAATGTTGATCAAGATGATTTCTATCAAAATGGAGATCTTATTGACAAAAATATTATATAATTCGTGCTCTATAAAATACTGGCACACTGGCAGTATTGGCATTTAGCCAACTAGTGATATTATTTTCATTAATGAAAAATGTTTGTATGTTAATTACCTTTTTTCGATTACCAGATAATAATTCTAAAGCAATAAACCTTCATGAGAATAGTAATACTTGTGTGAAAATTCTTTCGGCATACCAAATGTAACAAAATTATAAAGACTCTAATAAATCACAAAAAAAATATCATTGAAGGGTGTTTAAGGAAAAAATAACCAACCTTGAATTATTCTAATTACTTTATTAGCCGATCCCTTAATGCAAGTAACGTCAGATATCGCAAATTTTGAAATTCAATATTTTGGTTTATTTTTGTCATCAGTAATGAATGTTTTGTGTCCTAGGTTTTATAAAATGTGCAAAATGTTCTGAAATATATGTATAAGGTCAAGAGAATCACGTAAAAGATTTAAAATTCTTATTTGATATGAAATAATTTTTTGAAATTTGAAACTACCAAAACATGTATCTTTTTGTCATTTAAATGTATTCGTAATTCAAAAGTGTATGTCAAGACTAACACTTTCGTAAACAAAGGACGAGTTAGGATCTTAGTAGACATGATGTATATATTTACTAAAAGGCATCTTGTGGCCCAAACGGTATCAGTCTGAATGTATACTTTACTTCACAGATTCCTTTAATTCCTGCAATTGTTTGAAATATCTTGTATATACACGCTCATCTCTTATAACATACGTGTTCGCTTTCAACATTCAACTTAGCTTCTCGGATTTTATCAATCATGGTTTATTTGCTGATTCGCTTACAATAAACACTGCAAAGACTTGTTATTTAAACTAAGTAACTGGTAAATAGGATCATGCGAGTAAATATTATAATGTACACATACATGTGCTGCCTACGTTTGTTTATTATATGTTTCATAAATAATACAGGACATTCAAAATATTATATTAGTAGTATGATACCTCTGACTATTTTACGGACTCTATAAATTTTACTAGGAATTTTCACATGCGTTTTACATGTTCATATTACTGCTTTCAAGAAAAACTCAAAAACGATTCAAAATATTATATATACATAAGATGTAAATAAAATAAAATATGAAACAAAAGCTTTTATTTAAGAAGTATAATATATGTTAATTTATCAAAAGAGGATTATCAGAATTAGTTTTCAAATTACTTTTTTAAGTAGGTGATTTATGTAAAGTTATTCACCACTGATGAATATATTAATTCAGTATTGTAAATAATGTCAAGTTTTCAGATTTTTTTTCACAAGCAACTCATTTTTCATCTATTTGTTTGTTTTTTCAAATAAATTTTGTTTCTTAATAAGAAATATCGTCTCTTCTGGTTTTTAATAAATATTTGACTTTGTTTCGTAAAATGAAATAAAAAGCGAAAACTTAAATTGTAGCAATTTAATTGTTTCAGTGCCATTGATAAAATCGATTAAAGAAATTTGACTTTAAGAAGAAATGTAAAGTTTCAAAATAATAATCCCAAAACAGTCATCAGTTGCTGTGACAGAATAAAATATGTATTAAAGAATAAAAGACAGAATAAAATATAAGAGTGCCTTGAAATGTTATAAAAATATGTAACAGAAAATTTCTCAAGAAGTCATAGAAAATCTTGTCGATTTAGTTCTTATTACTTAAAAGGAAGCACAATGAAAACGTTCTTTATTTTAATGATGATATTGTTTGATTTCTAGGTTCTCTTGGGTGTATCTTGGGTTTTCGGTGCATTTGCAGTCGGCGAAGCAAGACTCGTATTTCAATACATTTTCTGTGTGGCCAATTCTCTCCAAGGATTTCTTATATTCCTCGTCAGGTGCTTGCAGTATCCTGAAGCAAGAAGTGCATGGTAAGTTTGTAAGGGTAAAGTTATATAAGTCTTACACTACGCCCTGTTTAATCCTTCCTGTGCTTAACACATAGTCTCTAGAAGTCTGGAAATGACTAGAAGTCTGACACTGAAAAAAGTTAAAATGCGCCTTAACGGAAAGTTAAGGCGCATCTACTGCTGCATCTTAAAATGTAAGTAAAATTTTTTAAAACTTATCCACCGTTACTCAGAAAAGTAAATGCTAAAGTATACACAACACAATCAACAGTTTCAGTACCTAATCAACTTGCGTCCAGCTGTCCGTGTTTTCTAAGACTAAGCGCTAAACGATTTCAAAATATCTCTCAGCAAACGCTGGTATAATTATGTGTGAATGGCTCAAGATATGAATTGTTGCTGCTTTCTATCTCATTGCTATATTTTGGCGGGTATCACAGTCTCTCACTATTTAAACTTAAACTAATTTGTAGTCTGGTGATAATTGATGGAAGAAATAGAAGTCGCAGGAAAGAATTAACATAAAGATGTATCACTAAATTAGAACTTTAATTTCGATAAGTTTCTTCTGTATTAGAATCATTCCATTCTTTGTGTTCTGCAATGTTATATTCCATTATTCTACGATGACATAATATTAATTAAACAGGCAGCATCACAAATTACAAGTTGTCTTTGTTTTTCTCAGTCTTTCCTTAGCTAATTCTGAATACTAGAACTATTCAGTCTTGAAGCAGAAGATGTTTAATTTTTTTTTTTTTTCAGATATATGAGAGTACACCACATCTAGAATGTTAAACTAGAGGATTTGGAAATATATTGCCATAAACATTAGGTTGCATTCAGCTGAAATTTCAATTCAACTCAAATAATTTATGCTATTTATTTAAATAGTTTATAAATTCAAAAGAAGTTCAAATTATTAAAAAAAAAAAAAAAAAAAAAGAACTTAGCATACGTAATCTTAAGTAATGTAGCTGCTAAGCTATAGCTAATGAATTCCATTTCTAAGTTTAATCTACAGATGGCACCACCATACATTTTGTGTTTAATTTCATGATTAACCGATAGATGGCAGCACTATATTGCAGGCATTAAAATTAAATTCATTTTACAGTTGAATTCTAGTTATCAAAGCGGATTTAGACTTGATTAAGGACCTAAGCTATTTGAGGTATGGGGGCCCTTTATAAGTTTGTTATACTATATTTTAATTTTTTGGGGGGGCCCCCAAGAAATTGGGAGCCGTAAATCCTGCTCTGCTAGGTAGCATAATTTCTAGTCATGTGATGGTTTGTGAATAATTTAAACACCATCAATTTTTATCAAAACAAAAGTATTAATTTTTCCTGTTTCAAGTTGTATAAACGTAAACAAACTGCGACAAAATATTTGCAAATCTTAAAGGCTCCTTTTTTCATTTTTTTCACTTCTATTTTGAAAATAAATTTTACGATACTTTTCTCTATAAAAAATTTTAAATTTATTTTATATAATATTAAAGCATAATTTTATCTTTTAATTATTTTAAATTAATGTTATTAAGGAAATAACATGCATTCATAAATCACAAAATAATTTCTAATATTTTATTTTTATTACAATTTCGCTTTTGAACCATTATGTCAACATTCCACTGCTAAAATTGCGAGACATTTGATGAGAATTAACAGGACTGCATTTCAGGAATTCGAGTTTATTTACAAAAAGTGCAAGCTATAGCTTACATTTTTTGTAAATAAACGACAAATAAGATACAAAATAAAAAATATCATAATGAATCATAACCCATTCAAAGATTTTAATTTCAGAAACGCCAGAAACACTCTAAGTCCCAACAGTAATCTACTGACAAATGTACTCATAAAATGGAAAAATTAACTTGGAGCTGGCATCTCCGTTGCTTTCAATTTTGTAGACGTACAGACATGTAGAGACATTTTTAATGTACATGGTAACTTTAATTAATGTTATTTCATTAAAGGACTTAGATATCTTGAAATCTATATCTTGGAGAGAGATTGAACAATTCTCTATATGGCACGCACTATACTATGGCCATCTGCTTATTTATAAAATATATATATATATATCATTATAATATGATACAATAAAATTTAATTTAAAAATTGTTTTCAATAAACTGGCTGACTGATTCAGCTCTATTTTCTCCCCAACTTCCTGATTATATTTCATAACAAGGCTAAATAGATTCTGACTTATATGTATTAAATGCATTATTGTAAAAATAATAAATAATATGTAAATGTATTCTTCAAGAGAGCTCAGACAATAAGTTGAAAAGAAGGTTGAAGGTTAAATATAAGTTGAAATGTTCTACTGCATCTTTTCTATTTTGATAAGGTATTTTATAATTTTTGCGGTTACGTGTAAGAATTACCTTGCAGTATTATACTAATAATGTTGTGCAACTTGAAATACATGATAATGTTTTACGTAACATACATATTTTGAAAATAAAATACAATTTAAAATAGGTTTACATGAAATAATCTTTTATTCAAAATGGATTAACGGACTAAAAGAAAAAAGTAACTTATCACGCAGTCCAAAAAATAATTATTTATTATTAATTAAGTAATAAAATAATTCTTTTACTCACTTCTTGTATTTGTACTTCTACAGAGACTATCACACATTTTTTAGACTTTCATTATTTACTAAAATGTTTACTAAAACGTTGCGCTTCGTTTTAAGCACAAAACAATCGTTTAAGCGCAAATGTTTATTTATTACTTTATAAGTAATAAAATAAATAGTTTTATTTATTAAGTAAGTAAAATAAGTAATATATCTGAAATTATTAAGTAATAAAATAAGTAATATATCTGAAATTATTAAGTAATAAAATAAGTAAGTAATAAAATAAATACTTATTACTTTATTAAGTAATAAATATGGCCTCAATATGCTAAGCTTTACTAACTCAATAAGGTGAAAATGTGTTTTGCCCTTCATACTTACACCTGAAACATACTAAAGCAAAACTGTTAAATTAAACCTAATTAACTAGACCCTATTTAACATTCTTATACTTCCGACGAATACTCGTCTTCTACATATCACAAAGCTCTTAAATCGCAGATAAAAGGAAAAAAATTAACAAAATGGTTAACCGAAAGTATGGCTTGCAAAAACAGTTAAAATTTAACAAAATTTGCAGGGTAAAAGAAATGCCAGCACCCAAATCTGTGCAACATAACAAATAATTTCCGAGCTGAATTATTTATTCAGCTCCAGCTACCGCAGCTTCTAACACTGAGCATCACCAAATCCGAAACCACGCATCAAAACTAGATCCACTCACACATGTAGATGACTAAGAAAATAAGCAGCTTCCTGGCGATTTGCCACAACCTTCTCTCTAAATTAAAAATGCGTTCGTTATATAAATTCCGTCCAGTTTACATTCTGTCGAAATCTGACGATAGAAACAGAAGTTACAGGAATAGATTAACATAAAAATCGCATATTACCTAAAATAAATCGTACAAAATTACGATATAGTAAAACTGCTATATGTTTTTAAAGCCAATCCAGAACAAGATCAACAAAATATTTTTAATAGCGGGTCAGCCCTCCTTTTTCCGCCACGAATATTTTTGCAAAAAGAGCTTCCTTTACAAAATATTCAAATATTCAAAATCTATTACAACTAATACTTAATGTACGAAAATCTTTAGGGACATGCAAAATAAACTTTTAACAATACTGTCTATTTCATTTTACGAAACATTATTAAAGGATGAGATAAATTTTCACATTTTTGTATTAAAATGAAATAAAATTAATAGCTATTTCCTTGACCGAATGATTTACTTTTAAATCTAAAAACACCATTTTGAAGATTTGCTGGAAATTATTTATTAGACCAAAAGGGCATTAGCTCGAATGGGCTGTTACTCTCGAGAAGGGATTTTGCGTCGTCCATTATAAACGGCGAATCATATTTCAAATTGTTGCCACCAAATAATATCGTCCTCTAATACCTTTAAAAAATTTAAATAATGAAGAATCTGCATGTATGTATGTATGTATGTTCCTCGCACTGTGAAAAAATGACAGTACCTAGAGACAGTAAATTTTGAATAGTGTTGTCCTCCACCCGGAACAAGCCCAAATTTTGAATTTCGAATATTATATTTCATAGTTTGTAAAACTTTAATGAATTTTGCAATAACAAACCCAACGACTTCAAAGCCAGCAATGGAAGCACAGTACGGAATGAAATATTTTTATCTCCAGCGCACAAGACGGTCTGTCGGGAATTCTAAAGATATGCTGTTTTTAAATATTTTGTGATTTGGCTGTTGAATCCAATTTTATGGACCGTAAATTTTATGGACCGCGATTTTATGGGCCGTAAAAAGAACATGATATCTAATAAATAAAGTTAACATACAAAACGTTAATAATAAAGAAGCACAAAAAAAGTTTTGTAAACCATCTTAATAAGAAAAGTAAACATATGATGAACTGAGAAAAGACTGAAAAATATTTAAAAAACATATACCAACACTTAACACTGCATCGTGAATTCTAAACATAGGCCTTTAAAATGTTTGTAAATTTGCTGTTGAATCTTATATGGCGTAAATGCGAAGAGAATGGTATTTAATAATAAAGCCAGCAGAAATGAGTGCAATAGCAGACTGGTAGACTGCGAGTTCAGTAAGAACATAAAAAAAAAAAAAAAAACCTTAATTCTTTTGGGTGACCGCTAAAATCTTAATTCTTTCAGACTTTTTATTATTAAATTATTATTACTAAATGCATGTAAATTTTGTCAACTTGGATAAAATTATTTGTATTGATACTTGGATTTGTATTGTGTTGTATTACTTTGTATTTGTATTGTCAACTTGGATAAAATTATTTTTGTTGATACTTTGATTTGTATTGTATTGTATTACTTTGTATTTGTATTGTCAACTTGGATAAAATTATTTGTATTCTTCATAGCCCGGGTCATTATGGTTAAAATAATAATCATATAACTTTTACTTAACTACTTTACAGAATTGTTGAAAAATAAATTATAAACATTTTCGTTTAAAAATTAACGTAGTTATAAAACTGCGTAATACAGTATGATCATTTTATTGGAGACTTATATGCAGCTATGCATGCATTGCAGCAAGTTCACACTGCAAGATATTATGAACAGCAGTCTCTGTATGAACTCCGTGGAGTAATAATTTGTTATTGGCTTTGAAGTATGTTGCAAAATAATATTTTATTACAATGCATGGAACTCTAAGCTGCTAGGCATAAGCAAATGAACAGAAATTTTATGAGCTTTCATTTAACTCGCTCATATTTATTACTGAAATAAAAATATATCGCTATAGTCAATATTATCATCGATTTTTAAGGCCCACCAGCGGCCGAGCGGTAAAGTCGCTGAACACTGGTAGTTCGGTCTGAGGTTCGAATCCCGCGAACGGGCTGGCTGCATGGAGGTTTTCGTGGTTTTCCCCATGTGTAACTTGTATACGAGCCAGTTTCCCTTAGAAAGTCCTCCACAAAGGCATCCCTCCCCTTAGGCAGATAGCCCTCGAGGCTTTGCCATAATCACACACACCACACCACATCGATTTTTAAACTGTTTCCTGATAAGATTGATTCAAAATTCGATTGAGACTGTACTTTACATTTAATGCTAAAACGCTCTTTCGCGCATATTTTCGTTCAGCACACAATCTAAAACTCTGAGAAATTTACTGTTTGCATCATCGAATAGAGAGGAAAAAAGCTTTTTATATGAAAGCTGGCTGAAATTTTCTAGCATTGTTTAAATATTTCCCGGTTATTTTACGTCCATTATTTACATCTAAAAAATTGATCTCTTGTCAAAATTTCTAATTTTGGGAATGAAAAGAATGATGAGAGCGATAAACATATTTATATATCAGCGATATAGATATCAGCGATTTTCTACAATCGTTTTCTAGATATACTGCTGTATGACTTGTATGGTTGTTGCAGTAAAGGCGAAGTTTTGGTTCTTTCTTGGGAGTCACGTGATTCGCCTGTAATAATTTGAGTTGCGACGTCATTAAGCGTTTCTCTTGCTTTTGTATAAATTTCTCTAATATTCATTTAATTTATTAGCCCAAAGGGTAATACTATTCTCGAAATATTACTTTGCATCGGTACACTTATAAATGGTGTATTACCTTTCAAATCGTAGCCATCAAATACAGTTGCTTGGTATTATTTTTATAGAAATCAAATAATGAAGAATCTGCATGCAGGTATTAAGTTCCTCCCAATGTGAAACAACGACGGTACCTAGAGCCATCAAATTTGAATAATGTAGTCCTTCACCCGAACATGGGCACTTAGAAGACCGAATTTGAATTTCGAATTTGTTATATTATTTATTTCATATTTTATAAAACTTGCAAAGAATTTCTCATTAATGAACTCAGTAATTTTAAAGTGAACAATAACACCGCTGTTCGAAATTAAAACGTTTTTATCTCTAGCGCGCAGTTGCCATTCGGGAAAATGTAAGATATTTATTTATCTTTCAATTTTCATTAAAAACTCGGCTCTATGAAAAAGCAATGTGTTGCCTCGGCAGGAAATAAAATACGTTTATCTTCTACTTGCCAGTGTGTTGACATTCAGTAAAGACAAAGATACCTTCAAATTTAACGTGGAAGATTACTGAGTAATAAAGTAAGCGATTTAAAAGCAATAAACACAGTTCATAAGAATAGTTTTCCTACATTTCAATATGACTGATTTAGATAAACACATATTAAAATACTGATATGTCTAATTAGAGCTGCCCAATACTTTTATAAAATTATAGGGAACTACTCTTATATGCGCCCTCAAGGCGCCATATGCGGTGTGTTTGGCGAGAAACTCCACGGTGCCATATTACTATCTAAATGTTTTGTCTACATTTCGAACTTTAGCCTAAAAGCCTCAAAAAGCGCGGTTTTCGCACATGCAAAAACCACGTTTTGAACACACAATTTTAGCTAAAAATCCGAAACAAAAACAAAAAATTTAGATAGCAAAAACGTAAAGTTTCTAACCAAAAATATTTGACAAGAATCCATATACACAGCGATATGTTTTAACTTAAAAAAACATCTACGAATTGCACAATCTAGACAACGAACGAATCTACGAACTACGCGCACATCGCTTTAATAAATTAACATAACAACAATAAATTTCAAATAATACCATGTACACAGCATCCCGTTTAAACTTGAAAATTTGTTTTTACTTGAAACTGTTTAACTTGAAAACCGTTATTCTCGAAACTGTTTAACTTGAAAACCGTTATTCTCGAAACTGTTTAACTTGAAAACTGTTTTGTTTATGTTTTAACTTTTTAAGTTAAAATATATACACAGCGATATGTTTTAACTTAGAAAACATCTACGAATTGCACAATCTAGACAACGAACGAATCTAAGAACTACGCACAGCTCTAATAAATTAACATAACAACAATAAATTTCAAAGAATACCTTGTCACAGCATCCTGTGTAAACTTAAAAAAAACATCTACGAAATGCACAATCTAGGCATTGCGTACAAATCAACAAAATAAACTAAAATAACTAAAATTACAAATAATTCAGAAACAACAATAAGAACAGAAATCCATAGTAAAAGAATAATGAACATAACATTCTACAAAATAAAAACAGTAAAAGAAAATGCACTTACCATAATACATTCGTTAATAAAATTTCGCCAGTCACCCACAGAACGTCTGTGAACAAAAGTGCCACCATTTTGCTACATCACATGTCTTTCTGCTATTCAAAATTTCGAAAGTAACGATAAAAACTTCCTCCAAAGTTAACTTACTACACGAAAAAAAACGATTCAAATCTTAATCTCCACTGACAACCACATAGATTACCAGCAAGCATTTGACTGGAAATCCACACAAGAACTATCAGAAACGCCCTTCTTCGTCCGAGTTCTCATAGCAGCTCCGCATTTCGCACTCCGTTTTAAAAGTACCACAGAAATTCCAAAAATACACTTCGATCCTCATAAACACACCCGTGAACAAAAGACTCGTTAACAACGCCAACATCGTACCTTCTAATACTAAATTTACTTTCCACACAATCTGAAATACGCGACTGAAACTTTCCCACTACGTCTATCATTGCAACATAAGCCATTTCAAAACACGCACGACACTGCAGTTGAGTTTCAACGTCAAAAGGGTTGCCATACAAACAGCATCGTCCACCAAACCATCCCACAGCACGGAATCGCTCCAAAAACCAGCGCAGAACACATATCTCCACATTTGGTGATCTTAGGGCGCATAGAAGAGTAGAGCCAATTATAGTAGCTGGAATCATTAAAATCCTTAAATACTTTTTCCTTTTTATAATAACGTTTCCGACAGCTAGCAGTGCGAGATACTAAATTTTAAAGAAATAATATTATAAGGGATTTCTCCCGCTCTCTTAGCATGCCTTCGTGGTGTAATGGTCAGCACACTCGGTGCGTATTCGAGAGGTCCGAAGTTCGAGTCCCATAGAGGGCACTGCTCATTTTTCATGTCTTCAGCAACAAAATAACCTAATGTCTCTACAATATAACGATTCTGAAAAAGCATATGTCAACCTATAACACTGTTGGGAAATCTAAAGGTATGCTGTTTTTAAACATTTTGGGATTTTGCTGTAAAATTGAATTTTATGTGGCCTAAGTGCGAAGAATATGATATTTAATAAATAAAGTTAACACATAATAATAAAAAGCCAAAAAAAGTTTTGTTAGACATTTTACTAAGGAAACTAAATATTGATATGATAAACTGAGAAAAAACAGAAAACATTTAAAAATGTATAGCAACACTTAACATTGATCGGGAATTGTAAACATACGCTCCTATGCAGCTTTTAAAAACTTTGTGATTTTGTTAAAGTGTATGTGATGTAACTGCGAAGAAAACGATGCTTAATAATAAAGCTAAGACTGATCTGTCGTGATAATGAAAGTAAACCGTGTTTCATAAATTCTTTTTCAAATATATATTATAACAATATTCGAAATAACGTTACTCTGAACTGTGTTCTTATCTGTTTCTTTAAGGTACCAGCTTCTAAAAACTGGAACGTTCAAAAAATACCGTGGAATGGTGCCTCCAGGAAGTTGGTCTGGAAATTCAAACTCAGGACACAACAAGCAGAATGGCCACTCTACTACCACTCGTTTGGGCAGCACTGATGTCACTGCCACTGGAGCTTTCAACACAAATGCCTTCTGGGGACATGAAAAAGGACCTGGAGTCGTTGATGTCACGGCCACCGTGAAAGGCGATTGTTGCGACGTTGGATACGACGATCCCGTACCCATACCCTCCGATATAGTTTTGGATTATTCCACTGTCACCAGAGGATCAGGCCAGCTTCTTACCTTCAGCAGCAGCGGGAACACCTTAAAAAGTACTGCCAGCAAGGAAGATAAAGCCAGAAGAGCTTCGAAAAACAAGAGTATCAGCAGGTTAGATAGTAATGTGCTTAAATTAAATTGGGGAAAGAAGATGAAGAATTGTATGATGAAATGATCATTTAAACTAAACATATGCCAGATTAAAAATATCAAAAACATTACTTAATATTTTATTCATAAATCATGTACGCATAGCAAATCTAATGTAGAATATTTTCCTATCATAATTATGTTTAAGATATGCCATGATTTCAGACATCACATGGGAATTTTGTGTATAAAAATAATACAATTCTGGAAGAAGGTACTTAGCATTGAAACAGTGATTCTTCGATGTCTCTCCTTATGTTCAGGCATTACCATTTAAAACATAAATCTATTACTGTTAAAATCGCGCCATAAAATTATTCCAGGATCGAAAGCATAACTTTAAAGAAAAAATATAAAACGTTAGCTGAAAATTATGGAAATGTGTAAGAAAATAATTTTATGAAACATACATATGAATGTTGCAGCCATATTAAATAAATGTATGTACAAGCTACGGGGAGTACATGATGTGATTTTTATTTGCTTATACGAACACAATAAAATTTAGTAATTGCAAGGTCCAGAAACGTACTTGTTAAGATATGGAAATGTACGTTAAAACTTCGCACAAATAGAACTATCATGAACACTTAGTCGACAGAGCATTTAGCCGACTCAGACATTCAGCTGGCAAGATATTTATTTAGTCGAGAAGTCGTTTAGCTGTCAGGTCATTTAGCTGACACGGACGTTTAGCGGACAGAACATTTAGATGATATCACGTTAAACCAACAAAACACTTAGCCGCCATGATATTTACCAATAGGATATTTACCCGTCACGGGCATTTAGGTGACAACGCTTACGTTTAGACATACATAAACATACAACATAAAAATTTCTCTCTATTTATCCCACAAAAAACCCTTTCCAAGGTCTTCCAGCGAGAAGATGTATAAACATGCACCACATTTTTGTCTTTATGCAATGCTATACAGAATATAGATTGTAAATTTAGAAAGAAAAGCAACCTTAGGTTAGTGTAGATTTTGAAATCAATTTCCAGAGAGATCACGCAAAAGTCCCTCTGTTCAGTTGAGCGAGACGATTTCATACTGAAGGCAATGACTGGGTCAAAGCGAAAACAAATGTAGCGTGATCTGCCGACAAAAATAGTCATGAATCATGAAAAAGCTAAGATATTAGAATTTTGAAAGCGTTTAGAAAAGTTAGATTATAAAATTAATGTCATTGACTAAAAAACAAAATTCTCTGTTAATGTGAAACGATTCAAAGTCCAATTTACTAACTGAAGAAGTTTTACGAATGAAGTTTGCAGATCCAAAGTCAAAATTATGATTAAGGGTCCAACTGTGATTAATAATCAAAGTTCTGCCCATTTCTCATAGGATTCATGTTCCCTGGCACAGGATTCATATTTTACGACGGTATACGATTATGACATATGATTCCTACCCTTACATACGATTGATAGGTTTCAAGTTCCCCGGAAAGAAATTTCAGCTCTTTCTCAGTTTGCCCGATATGTAAAATGTCACTGACATGTTATGCTAAAATTCCACAAAATAACACAGATGGGGTCTTTAAGAATCGAACAACAAATTTTACTGATAGGCGAGAAAATGATAGGAAAGTTGAATTTATGAAACTCCCAGCATTTTTGTAATTGATAGAGAGATTAAATAGTTGTTGGATAAATATGAACACATTTTACAGAGACGCTGTCACATCTTTTTGTCTGAACATTTGATTTATCAGCTAAACGTGCGGTCGGCTTAACGTGCTGTAGGTTTAATGCGCTGTCAGATAAAGGTCTGTGTCGGCTAAATGTCTATGTTGGCTAACTGTCCAGTTGGCTAAAAGTGTTTTGGATAAGTATCACAAACCCCTTACGTAACTGTATGCATTATCGCCTTCAAAGTGGCCTCATTTTTCATCTATACACTGATGCATTTCTATTTTGCATTCCTAGTTTTTGGATACTACACTGCATTCCTATTTTTTGGAAGTAGAATGTGGAATTCATTTTTAAGAGTACTGATGAGAATCTGCTTTGCGTTCTGTTGGATATCAGTTGTAGTCGCGCCTCGATATTTCCCACCTCGATATACCGAATCTCTCGCATACCGGGATGGATGGATACTAAGCAGACCTCACCAATATAAATTTACCGGGATACCAGTATAAATTGTAAAAATTAAGTATTAATTTTAAAAAAATCGCAAACTTAAATTTTGAAAGTCTCTGTAATTATTGTTCATAAATAAATGTAAACGGTCAAATTATCAAAAGTTAATTATCGAATAACGACAATAATCCTCTTCTACTTTTCAGGTCTAACTCTGAATCATCTCAAGACCAGTCTAAAACCGGAAGCGACCATCCACAACCAGATATCACTAGCAGCCATTATACCTTTGGCCTAAGTCCATCTGTTGTTGTTGAAACTACAGATAGTGACAATGAAGAGAAAAGATCCTTTCGCGAAGCAATGAACAATGAAATCGAAACCGACGTTTGTTCATCCAAAGACACTCAGCTGAGCTCTTTGCCAGCTGAGCCAAAGAGCAGAAGCTCATACGGATCGTCTATTGGCTACATAGATGAAGAAGCAGAACATCGAGATAAAATTGCGGCTAATACTCTGGACCGCAAAATTTTCGCCTCAAAAGCATCTAGCATGTTTGGGCACGTAAAATCCGACTCTCCACCCGAATTAGATAAGCAGAATTCTTGGCCCAGAACCCTTAGTTCATTCTTGGGTGGAAAAGAGCCTCTAAAGTTTACGATATCCGATGCCAATAGCGGTGTTCAACAACTGTCCAAACGTGGTCAAAGCATTGGTGAATGTCAGGATCGGCATTCATGCCAAATCATACCCCTTCAAGTCCGACCATCTACACCTTCCGTCATGCCTACATTCTCCCCGTCCCTGAGAGATAGCGAATTCTCTCGTCTCAGTCCTGGTGTTCACTCTCCCTTCAGCGACACAGCCTCACTACCGGACCGTTCCTCCGGGCACCTCCCACACCATCATCTCCACCACCATCACCATCATCTCATACCGGAGAGGTATGTTCCCGTGCAGGCCCCGCCCACAAACCGAACGTGGCGTACATCATCCTTGGATAGCGATGAAGTCGTTGAAGAGAGTGATGTCTCCATATCGGGACCGGCTACGCACGTGTTTGTTCCCCAGTCACCTTTGGACAATCACCACAGCGACGTCACTGGAAGTGAAGTTACTCCTCCGGACCAAGAGACGTTCAGGATCTGGGAGAGGCAAGGACTAGTGTCGCCTAGCGAAGCCATGTTCATAGAATCTGCCGCCTCCAGATTATGAACTCCTGAAACTGTACGTGTGATATATCTCCCAAACACATTGTGATTTGCTTTCAGAAGGAAGTTTCCTAAAACCATTGTGCATGATTTTGTAGCTGCTTTAGTTTTCCCTTAGTGTGGTGTGTCGAAGGAGTTAGGTAGTCTTTTCTATTCTGATTTTTCAAATAAATGATATTTAATTTTTTCCTTTCTTTGATATTTCCATTTTATACGAATTATTTCATCTAGCTATTCATAACATATTTTCAACATTTGACTATTGTTATCATATGTATTGGCATGATTTTAGGAAACTAACCTTCAATGAATGTTCCCGTGAGTTCGGAAAGTCATTCATACTGTAAAAACGTATCCAGTAATACTGTAAACTGTATCAGATTTATTCTGTATGCTTCAAATAAAAAAAAATAAAAGCAAAGAATTCAGAATCCCATAAAAGCACTGATGCGTCTGCAGCTATTTCAGTAATAAAATGTAGTATCATTGCTATAAAATTAGCGTATCTTTTCCAAGAACTAAGGACAATTTTACGCATAAAAGATACTCAGAGAAGCATTAACGGTTAAAATATTAATAAAGTAAATTTCAGATACATCTGAAATTAAGGTTAAAAAAGTCTTCAGAAAGAATTCGTTCCACCTTGGTAAGGAAAGTTCAAATGCGAAATATACTTTTTATGTTAAAGGCACTTTTTGCTGTTTATTATATGATCCTATTCTTTTTCAACAATATTAATTTTACCTAATATTATTCAATAATTTTACTGGTGATAATTACATTAATTTATTTTAATACTTATTATACATATGTTCAGAGCTGAATGCATCGCAAAAGCTGCTTAAATCAGTTGAACTTGTATTCAGAATTTTCATATTTATATCAAATTTGTATCACTGGTTATGAATACTTGAAGACTTGAATATTTTCTTCCTTGAGCTCACGGAAACTAACCTATTAATTAGAGCAAAATTTCAGTGTAATGAAATCTACAGAAACAGTGACCAAAATAATCATATGTGCATACTTTCCGTGCAGATTATCTGTTATATATCTTATCATTCATAGGCCGAATTGGAAGAATGGTGGTTTGTAATATGTCTTCGTGCCTATTTCCCGATTTTGTGCTAAGAGCGCAGTTTTATGCACTGAAGCAAATTCGGATTCCTTTGGAACTAACACTTGGTGCACACCAGAATCGCATTTTTCAAGTGATACGAGAGAATGTTTAGATTTGTACTACTCCCGGAAAAGCCTGACTTTTTTCCTGAACTACTAAGTTAGGTCTAGCAGTATTCTTTGAAAGAGCTTCAGAATGTTACCAATTATCTTGTTCCGTCGATTGGTTTCATAACGCAAGCGAATGAGTGAGAAATAATATTTCAGTTCGGCCCTTAATACCATTGCGTTTTTACCTACTTCGGAGTTAAATCGTCGTTTTCTTCAACCGTACAATTGTCTTTGCCATTGTATAAAATTGCACGTGCATTGTTGCTCTAGCATTATAGTCGAGTTATCATTTCAACTTGAGATGCAGTTACTAATTGTTTCTGCTATATGTATACGAAAGAACTGTAGCATGGAAGATTGTGATTTTGATTTAGTGATGTGTCGGATGTTAACGCCCATACCAAAAATAAAACTGAAAGTGCCCTAATGGATTGCGTTTCTTCTTTTCAATATATATTTCTTATTACTTTTATATCAATGACTATGTTGTGTGTTGGATTGTGTGTATAACTATAACTACTCATCTACTATAAATAAGCTGCCAAATGCTAAGCTTCCAAGGAGAGATCGTGGACTCTTAAAAGTCGACTAAATATGCTTCAATTAACTGAAATTTTATTTTATTGCAATGTAGGCACCGTCTTTGTAAAAATGCCAATATTTTAATCCTGTCTTTTAAACCAAAGTTGAAGCTTAGATACAAACTTAATAATTTCTTTTCAAATATTATAAATTTGTAAACATTTTTGGTACGGTTAAAAATGTTTTTGAGGCTTTTGTTTTTAATATGTTTCAGAGTTAAGAATATGAAATAGCAGTTTTAAACAAGTTTTATATTAATTCAGAAAGTCAAAAAAAATATTCTTTCGTGCATTAATAGAAGCGCAAGTAGTTTAAAACGCACAGAAAAGTTGGAAATCTCTCTTTGTAGTTAAAAACTCCTAACATATTATAAACCAAAGACTGCTAAAAGTTTTTAGAAAACGTTTCGACCAATAAATGTACATTACATTTATGCCGTATTGCACATAAAATATGCATCAATATAAAATGCTTGAAATGTAGGCATTGAAGTAAAATTTTAATATTTAATGATTTTAAACCTATATCAAGTTTATTTAATTTAAACACAGCAAAAATAATTTTAGAGTTTACTGTAATAAATTAATGAATCTTAGCTATTTTTTTCCTTTCGTTTACTGATCATACGAAAGTACCATGTTAAGCCTTTTTAAGCATCACTAAAATTTTCATCCACTAAATTTCATCCAAAAATATTTTCACTTTCATCCACAAATATTTTAAGGAAATTTCTTTATGACATTTTATTTCTGGATCTTCATCCGCAGATCCTTCAAATGCATTCATAACTTCTTAATTCAATCTTGTAAAAATACAATATGTAATTTCAGTTTTCCCTTATTTGTCAATTGATTTTATTCTAAGAATGCATTCATAACTTTTTAATTCAATCTTGTAAAAATACAATATGTAATTTCAGTTTTCCCTTATTTGTCAATTGATTTTATTCTAAGAATGCATTCATAACTTTTTAATTCAATCTTGTAAAAATGCAATATGTAATTTCAGTTTTCCCTCATTTGTCAATTGATTTTATTCTAAGGTATTCAGTCAGAATTTAAATTTGAAATTTTAATTTTAGCTGAAATTTTTCCTCATCCCCGGCATGCAGTTTCATAAAAGAGAAACATGAAACATTACGTAAATAAAACGAATAAGGCAAGCTGTATTTTCTCCCTAATACCAGATTTTTATAATAACATTATTGTTAGAAAAATGAATAAAATTATATTTTAAACTTAGAATTTCTTAATGCAAAAAAGCTGTGGTTTTCTCTAAAATTAAATTGAAGTTATCAAGTATAGACTTATTTTCATGAAAATCATACTTTGCTACAATAATTCGGCATATGTTATTTAGAATTCGGAGCACTCCTAGACAAGCAGGCACATTTGGTAGCTTTCTACAATTGCGTATGTAATAGCTGTTTAACATGTTTCTTTACAGTGTGTGATTACTATATACACAAAATGGAATTATCTAATAAATCTGTACATTTGCATCATATACGAGATCTTATCGTATTTGTTAGCATGTGAAGTAATAATTCTTCAGAAAATATTCATGTTTTTCATGTGAGAGCAAATGAGTCATTTATTACCTCAAAAGTGATATACAAGAGTACGTAGTTGTGAGAAATCCTTGTGTTTGTTCGAGGAAGCCCAGCTTTCACTTTTTGTTTTGTTCTGTATTTTACCTAACTGTTAAACCATGTTCTTACGATCTGAACCGAAGATATTCTGTCTTATGTTCGACAGTTATTTGTTGTTTTTTGTCTAGTGAGTGTCAATGTAAAAAAAGTTAAAATAAAAATTAGAAATATGTATTTGTAAGCTATGAAATGAGTTTTGAAAATAAAGAATATAAAGCACTGTCTAACTTTTATCATTTCTGATGTATGAAATGTTGTTATCGTTTCCAATAAACTCCCTAAGTAAAAAAAAATAGACAACGTGAGATACTTCACTTGTAGGAAATATGCCAAAAGAATAAATATGCCATATAAAATTTTATCAATTTTGATATTTCTTTAACTCACTGTTTCTTAATTTTTTTTTCAGTCGCGACCCCTTTTTATCACTGAGATTTCTTTTCGCGACCCCTGGACCCCATAATATTTACGAAAATTTTGTGGGACCCCATAAGCATTGCGCAAGTCCGACTCACGCGTGATTGAAACTGTCAATTGTTTCACTTGTACTGTAATATGCTATTGCAGTTTTAAGTCATTAACTTTAATTTCTAGTTTTAAGACATAGAACATGCGAAAATTTTAAATAAATAACAGACGAAATGACAGCGCCACGTGCAAAGCAAGTAAAATGAACGTTTCTATAGTAAAAAGAATGCGTGGAAACGTTTTTTTCTTTGTCTGTATTATCTTATCTTTATTCTATTTTCAGATACATTGTGTAAAAATGCTTGGTAACTGTAAAATTATTATAATAAGTTAAAGAAATATCAAAACTGCTAAAATATTTGGCGACCCCCACTGCAGGTCCCGTGGACACACAGTTTAACTTATTATAATAATTTTACAATTACCAAATATTTTTACACAATGTGTCTGAAAGTAGATGAAGTTCAGACAATACAGACAAAGAAAAAAAAAAGAAAACGTTTCGACGCATTCTTTTTATAACATAAACTTTCATTTTACTTGCTTTGCGCGTGACGCTGTCATTTCCGCTGTTACTTATTTAAAATTTTCACATTGTTCTATATCTTAAAACTAGAAATTAAAGTTAATGACCTAAAACTATAATAGTATATTACAGTAACAAGTGAAAAAAATTCACAGTTTCATTCAGGCGTGTGTCGGATTTGCGCAATGATTATAGGGTCCCACAAGTTTCGTAAATATTATGGGGTCCAGGGGTCGCGAAAACAATTTTTCTCAGTGATAAAAAGTGGTCGGGACTGAAAAAAGTTTAAGAAACGCTGTCCTAGGGTACGTATTTGAGTGGTACGTAAGTAGATTATTCAGCGGTATGTAGATCAGTATTTAAGTACGTAGAGTATTTTTTGTTATAAGCCAGCATATAATGTATCCCAGATATGTTTAATGGGGTTTTAAATCTTGTGGACAGGCAGGTGAGTTCAAACTATTATACCTAACAAAAACAAACAAACATTGCAGAACGAAACTAAACCAATAAGAACATGCAATTTCATCGTTCAGAAAATTTCAGGTTCAAGTTTATCCTAAAAGTCTTCACGTACTGACGCAGGATGACTTCCACACAGCAATTGTCAAATGTATGCAAAAATATCCATAAGACACCTTAAGATGACTAAATTCTGGGATGTAACTATCCCGAAAAATGTCTCCAGCTCCTAAATAAAAATAGTTTTGCATGATATGAGAAGTATTATAAAGTGCACATGGGTGCATCCAAATGTATATGTCTCTATTTAGGTTGATACGAGACTTGTCAGTAAGTAGAACAAACGCTGTGTTATGGGATCCAAATAAGTTCAATGCTATATTCAATAGTATGCAAAGGCAGCACATTTGACACAATGCCACTTTGCATAGAGTTTAATGATAGATGGTCCGCTTTATGCCTATAACAGCCGTCTATAAACCGTCTAACTGGATGCACGGGAGGCTGTCAATGTATGTTACATTGTTTGGATGTCCTGCGAAACTTGTTGACTGTATATCGATCCTAGACTAAAGTGACAGGTTAGCAATCTCGACATTTTAGAATTGTTTATGATATTTATTATTTTTAGACTAAATATGGCGCTTAAAGGAACATCAAATTCCCAAGATTCTTATGTCTGAGCACGGCTAGCTTCTATTCTGTCATGCTTAATATCTTCGATATGGTAATTAATATGATCGATATTTATTGTCTAATAATCATTTTTAGGTTGAAAAGGCATTAAAAACTCTTTCGATTGTATGGCATTAATGAGTTCTTCAAATACTAACCACTCGAACTTTCTTAAATTTTCCAAAGAAATTTCTTTATCTGTAACTTTTCAGAAATCCAGTCTGAGATGACAAAGCAGAAAACTCCAAAAATGAATACTGCAAAATATTTTTGAAAGATTTTGTATTGCAGTATCGCTATAAAAATGACAAAATACCGCCGCATTTCACTTTCTGTTTAAATGTATAGTGGATTTTACACCTTTCGCCCAAAACGTTCCGACTCTGAATTAATGAAAACTAAAGAAAACTTATATTTTTGATGCTTCAGGTGTTCTACATCGTCTCTCCCCAGAGTACAATGAGAACGTTCTTATAATAATATGAAACTTTCAGAAAAGTTCTTGTTTGAGATGTTATTCAACTTGCGGGTCACTGTGGCTTGAATGCCGAATACATCGTTGCGTTGAACATGCATGTGAAGTTTGATTTGATTTTCGAGAATAAAAAAGAGTCGCACGGCGCCAAATCGGGTGAATATGGAGAATGTTTAATAAGGGGCACACGTGTCTTTCACTAGAAACCTCACAACTTTTGCCATAACCTAAATAATCCTGAAATTTCTTAACTTTTGGACATCTTTAATCTTTTCAAAATTTATTCTTTTTAAGTTAACTTTTTTTAATAATTTTTAATGTTATTTGTTATGCCTTAATATGAATAACGTAATTTTCTGATTCGTCAGGTGTAATTAAGATTATCAAAAATTTTTATCAGAATATATATACATACATAGCTTTCTTACGTAAGAACAAACATGCGACACCCTGTATTTGAATTCTAATAATTGGTAAAATTTACTCTTTTTCTAGTTTTAATTTTGAATAAAAAAAGTTCATTAAATTTCAGATGCAATTAGATAGGATCTCCCTTCATCGGTAGCAGTTGCGTAAATGGACTTTGATAATTATGCGAAATATTTGTTAGCAAAACAGAAATCTCATAGATTGTCTCCCGAAATTTTATACGCTCTTTTTGTTTACAGTAACGGTAAATATGCACTGGGTATTTATTGGTAACTAGCGAAAGTACCCGATACCAGTTAAGATAAATTCAGAATAATGCACCTAACAACATAGAGAACGATATCGCTGTAATCCTTCTGTAATAATGATGCAAAAAAATACGATTCATAGTCATACATTTTTCAGTCTGATGTGATATGGAACCCGCATAAAAATTTTCGATAGAAAAATAAGCTAATTCTCTCTCATTATATTATATCAGCAACAATGGCACGCAGTTTTTAATGATTTTCGTTTTTCTTATCAAATGATTGTAAAAGCTAAAGTTCTATCCAATATTTCACTTACATTCAATTTTAGTCGATTAAATATGATAAATATTTATGATAATTGATCAGAAATCAATAACGCGAACAAACATACAAACAGGCGTTCTTCTTTATATGTATAGAATTTTATAAAACTTACAAATTTTGGTACTTTTCCGTTTCACCTGCGCAAATCTCGCCAAGCAGACTTTGTTGGCGACAACATACAGTATACACATAAAAAATGTTAATTCTAAGAATTTTTTTTTTATTTTGAAGGCATAAACATTTTAATATGGTTTAAAATTTTGTAAAAAGCCAATAAATAAAGACAATAAATTTGTAAAAAGACATTAATTTAAGAATTTACTATGATTTCATGGTTCAAAATCCTGATTCGCCGGTTCGTATCACGTGACCCCAAGTAATCTCATCTCACGTAAACTACGCTACTAAAATCTAATTCGCTCAGTAATTATCTACATTAATTTCAAGTTAAATCTTCATTTGGAATAGAAGTTTAAATGCAAGAATTATTTCAATTCGTACGAATAGCTTACTCAGAAATTATGTAAAACCGCAGTGCTTTACTTCGCTAGTGCATTCTCATTAGAATTGATGAATTTAACACTTGATTTCGCCTTCGGATGAGCGGTTTAATTGCATTCTAATTGACTTAATTACCGTGAATTGTCTTAGGGGATAAAATTTAAATATCGTGTGAAAATTCTATATTATTGTATGCCAGTATTAAAAGAAACAATCTGATAAGAAATGGCTTCAACTTTTTTTGAAACTGAGGCGTAAAAGGTTACCAGCAAAGATATTCCGTCTGGCATCAGTTAAACCATTATTGGCGACTTTATCGTTTGCGCCGGCAAAACGGAAAAGTACCCAAATTTTTGATTAACAGACTTTATGATTTGAAAGCGAGCAATATAATAATTTCGAAACTATCTCCAACGCGCGAGACTGTTGCCACTCGGGAAAATGAATGCGAAATTTAGCGCTTTCGGAGTTTTTAATTAGTATCTCGGCCGAGTAAAGTCGCAGGAAGATGGGAACAGTCGAAATGGCTTCCCACGAATTTTTGGAATCGGGAACAATGTATTTAACGTTTGGGAATGCTATTTTTATTTCATTGTATAACTTCAAAAATTTTTATTAGCAAAATCTACGATTTGAAAGCGAGCTGTGTCAACAACTTTCGAAATAAAACAGATTTTCATCTCCAGCTTGCGAGACTGTTGCCACATGGAAAAATGAGAGCGAAAATTATCGTTTTTCCAAGTTTTTAATTAATATCTCTGATTTTAGATGTTTTTTTTTTTTTTTTTTTTTTTTTTTTTTTTTTTTTTTTTTTAAAGTGGACGTAGTCCTTTTGCAGGAGTCAGAAAAGAACTGTAGAAAATATCTATAGTAGTGACTGAGTTATTAGAGGACAACCAAACACACAGACTTTAATCTTTATATATGTAGCTTATGGATGATGCTCGATTTATGCCAATTCAAAATAATGCATATGTAGAGGAAGGAATTCAAAACGCATAAAAATAAATTTTAATATTATTTACGGCTTTTTACTATTTTTAATCGCGTTTCTTCTTAAATTAAATTGTATTTTTGAAGATAAGTTTCTAAAAGTTGTGAATAAAGTCGC